GTGAGAATCTGTACTAATATGGGAGGGCAGAGGGGGTCATTTGGGGATGTTTTGTGGGGGAGTGTGATTGGGGCTGCTTGAGATGATCTCCTGCCTTTCTGCAGAACTACCTGGATGGAGCACCCCCAGTTCCATACACCACCCTGATGAGAACCTTCTCTGGGCTCCTCAAATGCTGAGCTGCTCTGGGCTTTGGGGGCCCAGACCCCCTCCATTTCTGAGTTCCACTGCCCCGCTGCCCTCCAACAGGGCTCCTTCAAGTTTCAGCTGACACAACGCCGCCTCCTCCAGGTGGCTGTCTACGCTCTCCTAGCATTCAGTACTTCTTTGTTCTACTTTGTATGTGTTTAATGCCTGTGTCCCCTTCTAAGAGGTAGGAGGTGAGTTTGCTTTGTTCACCAGTATATTCTTAGTGCTAATACAGGGTCTGACTCATTGCTGGGGCTCAGCAAACCTTTGAATGAATGAATAACCGGATGAATGAATGAGCCACACGGAAACTGTACCTTCCTGCCCTGACCTGTCTCAAGTGCCCGCCGAGCAGAGTTTGGCATCAGATGCCTGGCTGCATTGTGATGGACTGTGCTTTTGGACAAGCCACACATCTCACTTTAGAATCCCATGATTTTTGAGCCAACAGGATGCTTTGAAAGGCCAGCTGGGGAAACTGAGGCCCAGAGAAGAGCAGGGATTTGGCAAGTACCATGTAAATGACTCATTCTGCCTCCCGGCATGTGTTTCTTCCTCACTGACCCTTTCTGTTAAGCGGGGCTCTCTGTCCTGCTGACTGCCTGGTGTGGCCGGTGGGCTGCCAGTAGAGAAGTCCAGCAGGAAGGCTCGTGGAGCGCTAAGAAGCATGGCAAGTCCCATTTACTGGGAGAGAAGCCGGGGCCTCGTCCAGCCTGAGGTGGAGCCTGTGGGATCAGCTGAAGTCTAGGCGCATATTGGTCCCCAGGACCCCCAGGCAAGGACGGGACCCCCCTCCCCTCCCTGCCCAAAGCCCAAATAGCATCCCAGCTGATGGGAAGACTGTCTGCAGCAACAGTGAGGTGATGTCTGGTTTCTCCTTGAGCATTGTAAGCAATGATTAATCTGGCTCCCAAACCAAAATATAGCCCGAGTTCTATTATAAACACGGTCCTGTGGAGACCCGCCTGCTGGGCAGCCAGACGCCCCTTGCAGACTCCGTGGTCCCTGGAACTCCCACCGAAGCATCTGTTCTCCACTAGTACCAGTCAGGCACTGATCACCCATGGGGCAATCACTGCCCGTGGGTCCACCTTGAGGTCAGTGCCCGCCCCATAATTGCTGGGGCCCTGGAGAAGGTAATGGTTTAGATTCTTCCAAGTCCTGGGGCCCTGTCATTTGAAGCTGTTTGGCTGACCCCAGCTTGGTAAACACCATCAAGGTGCTTCCAGGGAGCATGTGAACCTCACCCCAGCCCTCACCTCATGCCTTGGTTGTGCTCAGCCTTGATTGTTCCCGGCCAGCTAAGAGAAACAGGGTTCATGGCGATGTTCAAGGCCCTTCGGGGGTCCATGGACTGGGGAGACCTAGGAATTGTGGCCTTCTGGACAAAGCACAGCCCAGTGGGTCTGGAGATGTGGGCAACAGTCTGGACTTGGCTATACCTTGCTAAGTAGCCTTGGGCAAGTCCCTTCCCCTCTCTGAGCCTCAGATTCTCATTCTGTCTAATGAGAAAGGAGGTTGTCAAATTGATGGCTTAGGTCCCTTCCAGCTCAGATGCTCCAGGGTTCACAGTGCTGCAGTCACCTGTAAGCTCAGACCTGCGGAGGTGGGTCAATTAGAGGGTCTTTCTAAGGTGGCCCTGTGGCTCTTCTAGGTGGTTCTAGGGTCTCAACAGTAGGTCTCATCCATGATCTGGTGGTTAAGGACATAGGGATTCACAGCTTGCTTCCCCTGGGAAGCTGTGTGACCTCAAGAAAGACTCTTTACCTCTCTGAGCTTCAGTTTCCTCATCTCGCAAATGTGCATGGTAATTCCTACCTCCTGGGGTGACTGCAAGTTGTTGATGAGCGGATGTATTTAAGGCTTTAATACTGGGCCAGGCATAGGGCAAGCACTGTCCATGTCCCTGGTGGCCATTTGTTTCCTTTTAGCTACACCTTGAGTAAAGGATTTACTTGAAATCTCCTGGAATTTTACTGGCAATTCTGCTAAAGCATTGGTTTCTATCAGACATCTTTGCAGCTGCAAAGAAAGCCAAAGGAGTGGGTGATGCTCAGGGGTTCCCCGGACCCCTTTCATGTGTCCTTGCTTCATTATTGCATTGGCTCTGTTATTGCATTGAGGCAGGCAGGGGATGGCAGAGTGAGCTCAGAGAGGGTGATTGCCTGTGCGGAGTCACACAGCCTAGAGCTCAAGGCTCCATTCAGCTCTAGGTGGGGAAAGGCTTTGATTGTTCTTCCTCATCTGCAGGCTTCAAGTGGAGAAAGGTTAGCGATGACCATTATATGCATCCTGTCTGTGACATGTCCTGCTCAAAACCCTCCTGTGGTTTACTACCATCTTACTGCCTGGCATACTCTGGCCTCCTGCTTCCTCTCTGACCACCCCACCCCTCTACTTCTCACCCCTCACTCCTTCTGCTCCAGTCACATGGGCCTTGTTCTTCCTTGAGAACATTTTTGTCTCAGGGCTTCTGTACCTGCTAGTCCTTCTGCCTGGAATGCCTTTCCCCAGGGAGCCAGCCCTGCGTCCAGCTCCCTCACAGCATTCATCTCTGAGCAGCCTCCCTTGTCTGCCCACCTGCAGTCACCACCCTCCCCAGCACTGCATTCTCTGTCTCCAACTCTGCTCACTTTTCTTCATAGCACTAGTCCCTGCCCCACATTATCTCCTTCTTTAATTTTATTTTTAATTGTAGTAAAAAACACATAAACTTTACCACCTGAACCCTACACGTGCAGTAACGCTAAGTATATTCACATTGTGTGCCATCCATCTGCAGAATTTTTTCATCTTGCAAAACTGAAACTCTACACCCATGTAAACAAACCCTTGAGGCATTACCTTTTATATTTATTTGTTCATATTTATAGCTTCTTAATTCGACTGTAGACGCCATTAAGGCAAAGGATATTGTCTTCTTGTTCATCCAATGCCTAGAATGGTGCTGGAGCATAAAATTTCAGTAAATGTTTGTCGAATGAATGAATGAATGAACTATAAAGACTATGGTAGGAACACCAGCTAGTCTTTACCTCGCCCTTGAATTCAGTGCCAGATACTATGCTAAGTGCTTCACACACATTATACCATATGCCAACCCTTAAGATCCCCATTTGTAAAAGAGGAAAACCAAGGCTCAGAGAGGTGTCATCATTGGCCCCACGTCATCCAGCCAGACAGTAGTGAAGCAGGGTAGAGATCCAGATTTATCTGAAACAAGAGATCTTAACCACTGCTGGCTGTGGCCTGTGCCTCAGTTTGCCCACTGGGGAAAAGTGCACATGCCCTAGGTGGAAGAATCTCACCCAGCTCTGTTGCTTCAATCTCATGGGCCCCAGATTTGAGATGTAATCATAAAACTGAGCAGTCGCAAGGCGTGAGTAGGTGCAAAAGGAATGCTTGTAAATTCTGCAAGCCTCTTGGATCAGACCAATTCTACTGTTTATGATTAAAGTCCTGCTTTCTGGGGGTGTGTTGGGGTGCTCTGTGTGCCTGTGTGTGTTTGTGTGCATGCATGAACTATCCGTGCCCGGGGTGGCTGCAATCTCCATGTGACCTCAGGTGTCAGAAGGGCCCAGTGGTGAGTATGAGCCTGCTGCTCTCTCGCAATGGGACTCCAGACAAGTGGCTTCGGTTCTCTGAGACTCAGCTTTCTCCTCTGTAAAATGGAGACCATGATCCTTAACCCCTATCCCCCACATCTCATAAGGGCTGGAGGACGTCATGTGGGTGTAATTCTGTGTAAACAGCACTGTGTAGAAAGAGCCCACAGACATCGTGTGTGTGTGTGTGTGTGTGTGTAGTCTAAAGTCTCATTTATTCCCCTCTGGGGGAGCCCTAGAACTCTTGAGTTTTAGAACATCAGAGCTAAGTGGGACTCAGAGTTCTAACTCCCTCGTTTGAGGTCCAGAGAAGGGCAGTAACCCATCCAGAGTTGCACAGTAAGTCACAGATGGTCACAGAACCAAGTGCAGGGCTCCCCACGTGGGGGGCTCTAACAGAGATCAGTGTGGCTGCCCATCTGATATGAAAGCCCCCTGTTCTGTCTTATTTCATAACAGCCCTAAGCTCATGGAAGCTTGAAGTCTGGGCTTTCCCTTCAGAGGGCTCCTCACTTTTATGAAATGACCCAGCTGGTCATCCCCAGCACCACCTGAAGGCACACACTCGTTTTGATTCTCCTGACCTGGAGACCTGGCCTTGGACCATGGTAGCTGGACCATGGGACAGAGGGTCAAGGTTGGTTCTGGGATGGCACCAGAGTCCTGCTCAGTCAGGCCTTTGGGTGGCCTCGTTCCCCCTGGAATCGTTGCTGGGACTAGTGGGAAGAAGGAAGGCGGCTATTTTGGTTCATATATTGAGTCAGTAAGTGTGAGATCTTTTAAGATAGGGGGCTACTGAGAAGGTCCCGACAGGAGATCCCAGCGTCCCTTGGTGGTTGAGCACAGCCAGACCTGAAGGCCCTCATCAGTCCACCCCTCCACTGAGAAATCCCTCCATCGCTCCTTCTGACGGTCTCACCCTCTCTCTGGATTTGGAAAGAATAGTGGTGATATAACATCACCCTCTCAAAGTTACTGTGCCTCACTTGGCTCACAAACCCTGCCCAAGGAGTGAGCATCCCCTGATGTCTCTCGGTTTAAGAACTGTTGATGGCAGAGAGGAAGCCATAGGAACCCTGATGCACGCGTATCCATTCGGGGAGTATTTATTGAACACGTGCTACATCCCCGCCGCAGTGTGTGCAGTGCTGAAAAGGCAAGCCCAGATGTGTCATCCCAGCCTGATGCGGTTTCTTCCCCCCACAGGGACACAAGGGCTATCCTGGACCGGCAGGGCACCCCGGAGAACAGGTGAGGGCGCGGCTCCAGCCCCTGCCTGTCCCTGGCCTCCTCCCCAGACCTGCTCCATGAGTGAGCCCCAGAGCCAGGCGGTTCTGCCTCCCATCCTGCTCGGCCCCCACCCTACCCCATCTCTCCCTCAGCCACATCTGCCCGAAGGGACTGGAGTCCAGGCCGGCCCGGTGTTGGCATGAGCCACTCGACTCCGGTTAGAGCCATGAATAGCTGGCCTGTTCCCGGCGATGTTAGGGGATATTATACACACCGCCACGGGGTTTGCAGGAATTTTGGCTGCCTCGGCCCAAGTCAAATAGCAGCCGCTGCCAGCGTGGGAGAGCCAGCCAGGCCTCCTCAGCGCTTTATTCCTGGGCTGTGAGCATGGGAGGGTTTGTCCCTCCGAGCTGGTCTGACCGGTTTCCCTGAGGGGTGGGCTTGGGGGCCCAGCAGACCCATGGCTTCCCCTTCCTCCCTCTTCATCTCACATTCCTGCCTTTCTCTCTGTCCATTGTGAGCCCGTCTCCCACTGCCACCCACACCTGCAGCTGGGCAGGGTCTCTCCTTTCCTTATGTTTCTCTTGTTCCTTTGCAGGGGCCACCGGGACCCGAGGGCAGCCCAGGGGCCAAAGGTTACCCTGGCAGGCAGGTGCAGTATATGGCTTCTGGAAGCTCTGTGGCCGTGGTGGTGTGGAGATGGCCACGGGTGCCCCAGGTGGAGGGAGGCAGTGGGCTGGGGGCCGAAAAGCTCCACCTGCTGGGTGGGCCCTGAAGACATGGCTATTCAGGGTGCTGCACTCAGGATCCCTCCCTAAAGGCAGCAGGGCCAGGATGCTCAGGAAGAAACAGAAGAAAGAGGAGGTCTGGGGCTGTGGGGGTCTCCAGAGGCTCCCCCCGAGTCATCTCCCTGGGGCCTTGGGATAGCTGGGGGCTCCGTCTGAAGAGCAAGCATGTAGCCCCGCTCCCGTTCTACAGAGTGGGCACCTGAGGCCCAAAGGATTCAGGACTTGCCCTGGGTTGTTGGCAGCAGGAGAACGTCTCCATATGTCCTTGCTCCTCTGTCTTTTGTGTTTCAGGGGTTGCCTGGACCGGTAGGAGACCCTGGCCCCAAAGGCAGCCGAGTAAGTAGGACTTGGCAAGTGCCACACAGCTGGGGCCCTGGGTGGGTATTGCTGTCCCTCTGGTGGGCCTGGTGGGAGATCAGGGCTGTAAAGCCTCCACCCAGTGTCTGCTTGGGGGCAGGGGGGCCAGGCCCTCTGACCTGAGCGCTCCCTGAAGAACAGAGGAGCAGCAGGATGGCCGTGTGGTGGGGGACCCTTGAGTCAGGTGAGCCAGCGTGGTCCCCATGTCTGGCCAACTGGGCGGCAAAGGTCTGCTGGGGTCTCAGCCACCGTCTAGCTGCTATCATCAGGCATTTGCTTGCCATGTCCCCCAGCACATCCCAAGCGCCAGGGAACTGAAGTTGGGGCCACTTTGTCTGTCCCTGGAATCCTCAGAGGCTTTTCTCCTGCTCCCAGCTGAGGGCTGAGGGCTGAGGGCACCACCCTTTTGGGAGGGCAGTGCTGCCTGAGGGGTGAACACTGTGCAGGCCTGGAGCTGAGGGAGCCTCTGCTTTCCCTCTCCTTCGAGGCTCGGCTGCAGACCCTGAGTAGCCAACAGCCTCATCTTTCCAGTGGGAGTGCTGTTCATTCCTACCTCTAGCATGGTTACGGGGATACTAGGGATCTGGAAGCAAGTTCTGCTGAGGACAGGTCACCAGGTTTGGGGCTCCCAGCTGGGCTCTGGGGCAGCAGAGAAGGTTCTGGATGAATTGAATGGAGATAGAGTTTGGAAGACTAAGAAGTGATCTGGTGGATGCCTCTTTTCTGCATGCAAGGAAATGGGGCTCATGGTGGGGACTCGAGGGCCCCAGTTCACACAGGATGCCTAAGGTGGAGCTGGGATGAGGACCCAGGTATTTGGAGGGCTGGGCCTTCTGCCTCTCAAAGAATGCTCGGCAAGTGGGTCACACAGTCCTGGGTCAAGCCAGGTCAGGTGTGACGTGTCCTCTGCTCCCGAGCCAAAGCTATTTATGGCTGCAGTCTCAGCCCTAGTCCCTGGAACTGACCGGTGGCTGTTAGGAAAGTGACTGGGAGGTGGGGAGGGATGGGTGGGCAAGTTCCCCAGGACGTGGTGATGAGGGTGATGGTGGTCGTGGTGGTGGTGACAGGCAGGGGCTGAGGAGGCCCCCGTCCTGGAAGCTGGACTTCCCTCCCTCCCTTTCTCCAACTCTTCCCACAAGGTGTGGCCCCAGAGGGGCCGTCTGAGCCCAGGGAGAAGGTCTTCGCAGTTCAGCCCCGGGGTCTCTGATCTGCCAGGGGGACGGGAGGAGTGAGACAGGCTGATGGCATCTGGGGGCTGCTTGCTGTTTGCCATGCTGTAGCATCTTGAGGCCACATGTGGGGAGAGAAATGGTCTCGCCCCAGTACAGCCCTCTCCAGGGTCACAGCGCCCTGGGCAGCCTGGGTGAGCCGGGCCGCTCCAGCTGCCCTCCCAGCCCTGCCGCCACCGGCCTCATGTTGGTGAAGCAGGCTGAGCTCAGGCTTGCGGGGCAGGGCGACTGACGTTGAGACCTGCTCTGCCGTGAACCCGCTGTGGGATCTTGGGCGTGTTGCTGGACCTCTCTGAGCCCATTTTCTCACCTGAAACCTGGGATATAAGCCCTGCTTGGAAGGATCAGTAAATGTCACTTGTTAAGAGGGTGCTGAGAAGGAGGCTCCGTGATCTCTTGACCTTCTGGGGAAGGAGAAAGGATTGTGAGCCTACGCTGGTTGCTTGTTTGTGGAAAGCAGTGTAGCAAAGTGGTTAGGAGCCTAGGCCCGGGAGTCAGATGACTTGAATTCAGATACCATGTTCTACCACATTCCTGCTGTGTGACCTGGGCAAGTCACTTCACCTTTGTGGACCTCAATGTTCTCACCTCTACAGGAGGCTGACTGAGGATTCCTACCTCCTGAGGGTGTGGTGAGGGCGCATAAAGGCACTGATGCCTGCGGAGCACTGAGAAGTGGGCCTGGCACATGGCCTGCGCTCAGTAATGTTAGCTTTTATTATAGTTAGTATTAAGTCATTTCACAAACATTTAGAGGGTACAGATTTGTGATAAGCATCCTGGGCTAGGTCCCTGCTCTTGAAAAGTTCCCAGGCTAATGTGGACATGAAACGTGGACACAGATAATGAAGATACAGAAGACAAAGTGGTAAATCTATTAAGTGAGGTGCAAATATGGTGCTGGGGTGGAGGGAGGGGGGTGCTTCTGGTTTGGGGCATCGGGGTGCTTGCCAGAGGGGCGAGCCTTAGAGCTGGGCTTGGAAGCATTTGGTCTGCAGTCATGGGAAGGGGATGGGTAGAGCAAAGCAGGGATAAAGGCTGGGAGGCAGAAAATCAGGTGCATCTTAGGCCGGTGGGCTCTTCCCCTGCCACCCCTGCTTTCTCTCCAGAGCTTCAGTTTCCTTTGTTCAGTGAGGAGGAGGACGGCAACCTGCAGGGTCCTTGGGAGGGTTGACTGCAGTGGCACACGTGTGCTTGGCAGGATGCCAGCACGCTGGGGTGGCAGCTGCTGTTTCTGCTGGCACTCGGGAGGCCAAGGGTTGATGTGAGCCCCACATCCAGGGCCTTCGAGGCCTAGGAGGAGGCACTGCAGAAGCCACAAGCGCCCGGCAGCATCCCTGGGGGTGGATAGGACCTGGTGCCACCCTAGCATCTAACCCAGCAGAGAGTTTCCTTCCTGCAGGTCCCGGAGCCCCTGGCGCGGGGCGGGCCTCCCCTGCAAGCGCCCGCGCCCTTCCCTGGCGTGAGGGTATGTGCCTTTGGACTACATCGTGGAAGCCAGCACCATGCAGTCCATGGGCATATACACTTGCCTCAAGGCCTATGTCATCGAGGAGCTGCTGGAGCTGCCACTGCCGCCAGCGAGGAAGAGGAGCCGGGGCACGGGAGGGCAGCAAGGCGGGGCCGGGACAGGTCGGGCCAGCCACAGCTCACCACTCAGCCCCTCTGACCTCCCACCTGCTCTTTCCTAGGGCTACATTGGACTCCCAGGACTCTTCGGCCTGCCAGGGTCTGATGGAGAGCGAGTGAGTATGCTTTTGTTTGTCCACCTCCCACCCATCCACCCGCCGCTCTGCCAGGTGCCGGCCCGGAGCAGTCAGTCACAGAATCCCTGCTGGGGGAGGTGCCCTGGAGTAGAATAGGAGTCTGCTAAGGGGACAAGTCAAGGCAGATGCCTTCCAGACACAGGGAACTGCGTGTGCGAAGTCAGGGACATATGCCAACGTGGCAAGTTTAACAGCACGGTCAAAGCACTGAGCGTGAGGCGGAAACAGAGGGAGACAGGCTGGAGGGAGCACCTGGATGAAGTTATACGGCACTCAGGGGCCGAGGTCAAGAAAGGGACTCTATCCTAAGAGCATGGGGAACTTGTAAAGGGATTTCAGCAAATGGGAAGAAATGGGCTCATTTCACATTTCCGATCAAGTGTCTGCAGATTACAGCCCGAGTGCCAGATCCTGGCAGGCACCTGTTTCTGGAAAGCTTTGCTGCACACACCACACTCATTTGCTTCTGTGTTGTCTGTGGCTGCAAAAGCTCTCAGTACAGGGACTGCATGGCCCACAGGCCTCTGTAACTTCCTCTCCGTCCCCTCCCCGCCTGAGCCTCTGCTTCGGAACTCATCAACAAGCTGGGTAAAGAGAATCTTAAGGAAACAGAAGGAGCATTTATTGAATATCTGCTGAATACCCGAACACTAGGCGTTTTCCTTAGGGATCTCCCCAGCTCAGGTCATCCGCAGGCCCCAACCCTGTAGCGTCCAAGGGCCATCCATCCGATGTGCACCTAGCTGGCATCTATTGTGTTTGTGGATTGGATGCCAAGACCTCTGTGACTCCCTCTTGTGGGTGACTCTGGGGCTGGTTTGGGGCACACTGGTTGTTTCCTGCTGGAGTCCTGTCCTGACCTCTTCCCTGTTTCCCCTACAGGGTCTGCCTGGCGTTCCTGGCAAGAGGGGCAAGATGGGTAGGCCGGTAAAGATTTTCCGTGTCTATTACGCAGATTCTATGGGTGAACCTGACCTCCCACTGGCCACGCGGCCCTGTCCACCCGTGGCCTGGGGGTTCTTTGCTTCTTTCTGCTCAGCCCTTGCTCTGCTTTGAGTGTGTGGGCGGGCATGTGGGGCTGTCTGGGCCTCGGGTCCTGTTGCCAGAACACTGAGTGGCTGCTGCCTGGCTGGGGCTGGGGGCTCTCGTGGACTCTGGGCCCCTCTGGGGTGGAGCCTCTCTCTGCGTGTCCAGCAATCACTCTGCAATACAGTTCTGTGTCTGGGGGGCTTCTGTTGTCTGGGTCATGAGTGTCCATGCTGGGGGGCCTGCTCGGACTAGGGGATCTTGTCTAGACCGGATGTCTGTGTTCCTGTGTCAGAGAACACTCGGTCTCTGTGTTGTCTTGGTGTTACCCTTTTCACTTGTGTACACACAAGGGCAGTGGGGTGTTGGGCTGGCCCACAGCAGGCATGACCACAAGAGGGGCCAGCAGGGACCCCAATCCACCAGCTCTGACCATGATTCTCCATCGTAGTAGGCGATTGTTTTCCCCTTGTTTGGGCATCTGTGGGGCAGGAAAAGAAAACCAAGGCACAGAGAGATTAAGCAACTTGCCCACAGTTTCATGAGGGAACAACGGAGCCAGGATTCTAACTCAGTTCCTCTCCAGGTCCTCTGATCTGTGTTGGCTCAGTTTCACCAGCTGACTATAAAGCTGTGCAAGTGGATTCCCTAGAATCTTCGTCTGGGGGGAAAGTCATTCATTCCAATGATTTCATTTCTCACAAGGGGAAACTGAGGCTCTGAGAGGCAGAGTGGTATGTCCAGGGTCCCGCTGTCAAGCTAAGGGAGACCACGGGCTGTAACTGAGGCATCTTTCTTTCATACCCAGCCCCCGTTGGTGGCTTGCTCTCTGCCGCTGTCCTGCAGGTTCACCCCTAGTCTTGGAACCATCCTCAGCTCTGGGTCTGGGTCTCCCCTTGCTTGTGGTTGATGGAGAAGAGATGGTGGGGGAGCTGGAAACATGAGAGACAGCTGGAAGGAAGTCAGGAGCACTCAAAGGTGGCCAGAAAGGGGGTTGTCTGTGATTCTGGGGTTGACATGCATGTTCATGGGTGTGTTATCTGTTGTAACATATAGACCTGGGCCCCCTGGGAGCCAAGTGGGGGATACAGAGAAAAGCAAGACTCGTCCTGGCCTGAAATTGCTGACAGAGTGGGTACCTCACCCTCAGATCTGGAATACTCCATGGCTGGCAGCCCTTCTGTGCCCTGAGGGAATGCCTGACCTCTAGATCTGAGCAAGGAACAGTACCTAATGCTTCTGGCTTCAGATCAAAGACCTGGAGTCTGTGAGAGCTGGGCTGGCATCTGATCTGTTCCTCAAACTAGGTCACCTTGGGCAAGGAGACTCATTCATTCATTCATTCATTCATTCAGTGAATATTGAGTATGTACCATGGGTCAGACCCTGTGCTTGTGGCTGAGCAGTGAACAAGACAAAATTGCCATTCTCAGGGCCAGACAGACAATGACTGAATAGGGGAATGAAGGATGAGTGGCTGGATGTCAGGTGGTGCTGAGGGTTAAGCTGGAGCGGGGTAGGGGGACAGTGAGTACTTTGACCTGCATGATATTTGAACCACATGTGGTTCTCCCACTGATGGTTTGAAGTGAGATTGTTTATACCTATTTTCCACATGAGGAAACTGAGGCTTCAAAGCCATTTGCCTAGAGACCCTCTGAGGCCTTGCCGGACTTAAACCCCCATAACTGACAAAGCGTTTCTGCTTGTTTGCTCTGTGCCTTTAACTTCCTAAGATTCCACCCTGCCCTCCATGATAAGGTGTTCCCGGGCACTGGGGTGTCAGGTGTGGGCGCGAGGAACCCCCCATTCAGCTAAACAGCCCTGTGGCCACACAATACCCCTGAGGGCCGTGAAATCCTCCTTGACTCTGGTCCAGCCATCATGGCCAGCTAATGGGCAAGGTCTGCACTGGGTATTTTAATATGTGTGGAATAGGCCTTCATATCACTTGAGTCCCCAAGGCTTTGTCTGTGCCTCTGCCCGGCCTCCAAGTCTGCTGTGCCCTTGGCCCACATGCTCCTTGAGCAGTCTTCAGGGCCGTCTCCCTGTTACGTGCTCCCCTGGTAGGACTAGGGGCTTCTCCTGTGCATGGGTTTTCCTCTTGTCGAAGCTTTGGGCAGGCAATTTCTAGGCACTTATTAACAAGAGGAAATGTCAAGCGAATGAGCTAGATGCAGCTCATGCCAGATCGCAGCTGGCCTCATTTCTGGTGGGGCAGGTGATGATTTTGCTAGAGCCCATTCCTCTCCGGCAAGCAAAACCTCAGGCCCATGTACATGGCCTCCTCAGAGTCAGACGTGGAAGGAGGGTGTGTGAGGAGTCTTTCGCTGATGGGAGCTGAGAAAGACAGTAGAGGTCAGAGCACATCAGAGCTGCAGGAACCTTAGTAATGATCTGGCCCAACCTGTTTGTCAGATTGGTAAGCAAACATAGCTCAGAGAGGCCAGTAACTTGCCCAAAGTCACACAGCAAATTGGTAGCAGAGTCAGAACTTGAATCTGGGACCCTTGCTTGCTAGTGCAGGGTGCTCTCCACGTCTCCCCTCCTCTCTGTGCTCACATCTTCAGCTTCCAAAGGAAAGCTAAGCCTACAGCTCTCATCACACATCACCTGCTAGAAAGAGAAATGTGTTGTAGTTTCCTGAGGAGGGGTCCAGATATAAGATGTTACAGACTTGGCTGGAGTTGAGGGGGTTTCTCTTAGCCTATCCTGGCCTGTTCGGGGCCCAGTGCAGTGACACTCACAGCTGGAGACCGAGCCATGTCTTCCAGCCAAGGATCTCTTATGGAGCCTAGGAAGACGCTGCAGTCAATCCTCTTGTCTGGCACCCTGTGGATTCACTATCAAGCCCGCTGGAATGCCTGGCAAGACCAGCCCCTGATCACAGCTTCTCTCACGGCCTCTGGCCAGGCCTGCCAAGCCTGGTCTTGTGTGGCAAGTCAGGCGGGCAGACCCTAAAGCTTAGAGCTGGGAAAGTCCAGCCAAGGCTCCAACTCCCTCGGTGTGTGGCTCAGGGACAGCTGGGACTTGTCCAATACCACATGCCCGTCTGGGGCGGGACAGGGCTTCTCCTATGGTGCATTTTGACTTTAAGCTCTTTCCACTTCTCAGCCTGTGGGGAGCAGGAAACAAAGTGGTTTCCAAATGGAGAAAATGAGGCCGAAACAGGTGAAGGTTCTTAGTGGCGGTGATGCTGTGAGCTGGGGGTGTGGTCCCCAGTCTCCTGGACTTGAGCTGGAGCTGTCCCAGGGCTGTTGGTGACCTTGGAATCCTGCTGAGAACTCTGCCTGCCTCTCTCCAACTTGCTCCCCGAGGTGACTCTTTATGGGTGGATTCCCGGTTGGATATCAGCAGGCAGGGTGAAAACATGCTCAGCATCATGAGAAAAGGGGACTCGGACCTCGGGGGTCCTTCCCTGTCGGCACACTCGGAGAGCACGCACCTTCTAGAAGAGAATACAGGTCGTGCCAAGGGTCGTAGGGAGGATGCAAGTCAGATTTGCGTAGGAACTTCTCAACTTTGGAGAATGTAAACCCTGTAAAGAGGGCTTCAAGATCCTTCTGCAGGCTCTTCTTAGAGGTTATTATGAATTCCCATTATCGGTACCTAACTGGCATGGGATGTCATATTAGAGTTTACCAGAGATGGAATTACAAACATCTCACCTCTTCCTCAGGCCCCACGCAGTTGGGCAGGTGAGTTGTTAGGTGGGTTGGGCAGGACTGCCCATTTTGTGGGCCACGATGCTGAAGGCCTTCAAGACACAGCAGGACTTCTGATCCTGGAGGCTGCATGCTTCCCTGCCCCTACATGCCACTTTCTGGAGCAGACTGTCAGGGCAGGCACTGCCTGGAGGCAGGGGAGTGGATGGGATGGCCTCCAGCCCCGGGCATCCTGCCGCAGATATGGTTAGAAGGACCAGCCTTGTTTTTGAGTCTATTCTTATGAATTGTCGTAGCCAGGAAAGACTGTGGAGTCTTGCCCCAGATCTTGGTTCTGTCTCCTCCTGGCCATGTTCTGCTCAAAGTATGAGGCTTTCAGTTCTCCAGGGGGGCCTGACCTGGGGAAGTGGAGAAACTGCGTGGCAGGGCGCCAAGCTCATTCTTTGGGCCTCGGGCCAGCCTGCTGCAGCCAGGAGCTTGGGCCTGCGGAGGAAGGTCCCGCTGCTGGCCGGGCTGGGAGTGCACGGCGTGCACAAGTGGGTGCGGCCACATGGGGGAAGCAGGCGGGGTGGAAGTGGCGGTGCGTGTTCAGCTCGGCAGCTGCCTCTCTGAGATCCAGAGGAACAAGCATCAGGGGCCTGGGGCATGTGTCGGAACTGGGATGCCCCAGTGGCTCAACTGTGGAGGATGAGGTGAGCTAGTGGAGGGATGGGGCCTTGGGCAGGTTCCGGGCCTCCGTCTCCCCACTGGTGACTGAGGTGCTGAGTGTCAAGAACAGCTTCAGTCTTTCCATCTCAGGCCATCTATGATTAATCAGTCACAGATCTGTTCCGGCTCTCTTAAAGCCATATCTTTTTTCCAACTATGGTGATCTGAATTACTCTAGATTTCTAGAGGTTATCTGCTTGGATCCTCTGAAGGAAGGGAGACAAATTGGAGATGGGTCTGGGTATGGAGGCCACCAGGCACACATAAGCAGAACTGGTCCTGGGCCTCAGGAATGCCATTCCCACCTGAGCCTTAGTCCAGGGCTCTCGCGAGCCCTTGAGAGACCACGGGCTTGCTCTAGTCTATTCTGTGTGGTCAGTGTCCATTCATAGCTAAGAGAGCTGACTCTGGAGTCAGCCTGCCTGGGTTCAGATCCCAGTTCTGCTATTCCATAGCTGTGTGACTTTAGACAAGTTCTCTAAGGTCTCTGGCCCTCAGTTTCGTCATTTCTGAAATGGGGCCAATAATAGGACCTCTCTTACGGGGCTGTTAGAGTTTGCTGTTGCTGTCATTGCTGTCACCCCACCATCATCACCCACTGGCTATACTCAGGCTGCATTTTGTCCTCATATGTGCCTCTCTTGGGGTTTTTAACCATTCTGACGGTCTCTCCTTTGCTTACGCCTCAGAGAGGTACCTTCCCATTGCTGCAGCCTCCATGTGCCAGCAAGGGCTCGCCCTCTGTCCAGCATCTCAGCTCATCCTTTCAGGACCCCTGATTGTAGAGCAGAGAAAGCTGAGGCTTGGAGGAGCCCAGGACTGGCACTGGGTTGCTCTGGTTCTAAAGCCTCGCAGGGGAAGCTGGCCCAGCAGCTGGGTCTGAGAGGAGTCCTTGGGCCAGCCTGAAGTGGCACTGATTGCAGACCTGTGGGTTTGAGACCTGCCTGGTGGCTGCTGAGTGTGGATATATTGGACATTACAGTCAGGATTGGTGCTAGCAAATGCTGTCAAGGTCTCTGTCTCCCCCTGGGCTACGGCGTTCCTGTACCTTGTGGAGCAGGCTGCATCCTCCCAGACCTTGACTATGGGTTGGGCCAAGCTGAGGGATCTTAGAGATCACACCCCTCCCCACTAGCCCGGGCAGGACAGAGGGTCAAGTGAGGGTGTGCCCAAGGTCACACAGCTAACCTGGAGGGGAGCCCAGGCTAGTGTACGGGCTGTCTCTAGATGCTGGACTTGGAGAACAGAGCTTGGACTCCCCAAAGCCTTCCCCTTGTGGGCCATGTGGAGTCAGCCAGCATCTCCCTTGTCCCCTGAAGGATTGCCCTTCTCTCTTGCCAAGCCCCAACCCCAACCTCCAAAGGCCGAGGCAGTAACTCAATGCCTTCAGAAGCCTTCCCTGCCCATAGCCCACCCAGCTGATATCTCCTGCCTCAGGAGGTCAGAGGGCTCTCTATAGCATGAGCAAGAGGGGCTGGATTGGGGTGAGGTTGGAATTTTCCAGGGGGGACCCCAAGGATGCAGGGAGAGGCATCTTAGATGGAGTCAAATGTACCCTCACAAAGACTTGACCCGGGGATGCATGCAAGTGCACACACATACGCACCCCCCACCCACGTCTGCCACTCTCTAAAACCAGGCAGGCACACATTAGAGCAGCTTCTGCCTGCCAGGATTGCCCTTGCTCAGCTCAAACAAACATGGCAGAGTTCAGAGAGGTGGGACGTGGGCTCAGCTCTGCCACAGATTTGCTTTTTGGCCTTGGCCAAGTGACATTTCCCTCTCTGAGCCTCAATTTCTCCATCTGTCAAATGGGACCAATAACCTTCCCCTCAAGGGTTAAGGCCAAAAGCAAGTAAAATTTTGCATGCAAAGTCACTGGCTTAGCTCAAATCTCTTTAGTCTGTCCTCATTTCCTCCTTTGGGTGTCTGAATGAAGCCACACCTCCTAAAGGGTCTGTATCAATGCCTGCCCTTCTGGTCCAAGAGGGCTTCCTGGCAGAGGGTGGATTTGAGGAGAGTAGTATTCTAAGCAGGGCAAAACAAAGGCCCAGATACACACACAATTCAAAGTCTCTTTGCTCAGCCAGTGTAGACTTTGTAATTTGGTTTGGGTTTTGTTTTTAGCTTCGGTCTTTCTAGTTTAATCTACTCACTGGTTTCCCCTGGTAGCGTTAGAAACCAGAAACAAATTATCCTCTGTGAAGCATCTTCACTGTTGGAACAGCTCAGGCACCCACTTGGTCAGAAAAACATGTGCTTTGTTTTTTTATTAAATTTCCCTGGAAAAACAGTGATTTGAATTCAAGGAGGGGAGGAGAGCAGGTTTCCCTGAATTCCAAGCTCGAGGACTTTCTTCTCCTTTTGAAGTAGAATGGAGTTGTGCCCCCTCCTCGGCCCCCAGAAGCTTCCCCCACAGCTGATGTTTTTCCAGCTGTCTGCCTCTCCAGAGAGCATGGAGTGGGGTCAGGGAGGGGGCGAGAGGGCCAGACCTCCGGGGCCGGGCAGCCTGGCCTCTCTCAGCTGCCGAAACTCACCTGTGGCTGCGGTGCTGAAGCTCCCGATCCGTGTGACTTTGTATGATGACCTCGGCATCCTTTCAGAGCCTCACTTTCTTTATCTGTAAAATGGGGATTGTGATTCCACAGGGTGGCTTTTGAGGAGCACATCACAAAAATCACAGAAGGTCTGAGCTGGGAAATGCTGCAGTGGCCTTCCCTGTTTTAACCAGTGGGGAAACTGAGGCCCACAAAGGAAAGGGATATTCTTGAACCTCTCAGCGAGTCAGCGACTGGTCCAGGCCTAGGCCCAGCTTCCTGACTGCCCCCGGCCCTGCCCTTGTCAGAACCAGGTCTCAGCATGGGGGTTGGCATTTCCATGCTGGGGAGCTGGGTCTCTTTTCTTTTGTAAGACTCTGGGTAGATAAGAAGAAGGTTCACTGGCCACGGGCTCCAGAGAAGCTAGTCCTTGGGAAGTCTTCATAGGCGGTGATTGCTGAGGGCCCAGAATGACTCGGGACCCCACAGCCTGCCAGACCCTGGAACCAGGGACTGAGACTGCACAGATGTGTCCTGTGTCCCCTCCAGGTCTGGATGGAAGCCACTTGTAGGTGTAAACACTAATCTGCCGATGTTTGCTCTTTCTCGTGCCCCCAGGGGTTTCCTGGAGACTTTGGGGAAAGAGGCCCTCCGGGACTGGATGGAAACCCCGTAAGTATTTCAAGTCTTTGGGAACAGGAAAGAGATTCAGAGCAAACACACGGCAGGCTTTAGGAACCTAAGCTTTAGGGTCAGGCAGACTCGGTCAGATCCTAGCCGGGCCACCTATGAGCTGGGTGCTCCTGGACAAACTGCATGATTTCTCTGAACCCCAGGCTCCTGTCTCCCATGGATTTCTTGTCCCCTCACCCCACCCCAGGAGAGCCCTCTAGCCCCCTGAGCCCCTGGTCCCAAAGCCCCAGGCTGTGCCCCATCCTCAAGGACTTGGAAGGTTCACGGGTGGCTCCCCACTGGCGAAGCCAGGACAGCTGCCCTCTTACAAGGCATCAGAAATGTTTATGGGAGGCAGCGGCCTCGGGGAGCAGATGGCTTGCAGGCCTTGTATGAAGGGAAGAGCCACATTCTAAAGAAATCTCCAACATAGATGTGTTTATAATTTGTAAATAATCAAGGCCATGAAGGAGCTAGGTCAGCCTGCCCCAGGGAGCTGAGCCTGCCTCTCCCTTCCCATCCCAGGCTTAGGCTCAGGCGGGAGGGGAAGCTTGTTCTCCACCTCGGGGTACAGACCAGGTCCAGAGCTCTTTGGAACACCTGCCATGTCCCCCTCTCTCTCTCGGGCTTCCCGCCTGTGCAGCTGTGCCCAGCTGTGCCCTCCGCAGAGGTGGCTACTGGATACATAATTAGCACCTGATGACATGCTCTTTTCAGTTCCGTGAATGCTCCCTGAGCCTCACCCAGCTGGGGCTGACCTCAGGGCTCCCTGGGGGCACTGAAGCCCTGGCCTCGGAGCCAGATGAACCTGGGTTTGAATCCTGCTGCACCCCTTGTCAGGTGCGGAAGCTTGGGCAAACCAGTTCACCCACCTGCATCTCAGTTTCCTTACCTGTAAATCATGGGGATCAGAATGCTGGCCTCACAGGGCTGTGGTGAAGTGAAGTGAGAGAGGACAGGGAGGTGGTACGCCCACAAGGGTTCACTGGATGGAGGGGTTATAAATAGTAGGTAATAACGGGGCCCATTTCCTGCCCTGAAATGGGTGGGATCGAAGAGGCCCAGGTGCTGTTGAGGAGAGAGAGAGAAGCAGGGACCACTCCTGGGGAAGGATGGCATTGAAACTGGGATGAGGAAAGAGGTGGGGAACACTGCAGGTGGAGGGCAGAGCAGTGGCAAAGACACCAAGAGGAGAAACCAGTCTTTCCTTCCGTGTAGCAGCTACTGGATTAACTGCCATAAAGTGTGACATCATCCTGGAAGTGCCCTTGGGGAGGGGCAGGGATGTCCTTGTACTTATGGCCCAAAGGAGCAGGAAGAGGACCTGATGAGTGATCCTGGCTCTGCCACACACTTGAGTGACCTTGGACAAGTCACTTCCCTTCCCTGAGCCTCGGGTCCCTCACTTTAAAGCCAGGGAAGCTCCTCACCTCCTCCTCTTCATCTCGGTGGCTGTGGTCATGACCTCCTTCCAGTCTGGGATCACGGAGATGAAGGAAGGCACACCCCTGGAGGATGCTGGTGATTGATAATCACCATTTCTAGAGCCCTGATTTCTATTCACACCTTTGCATTTTGAACTTGATCCAAACCCCTCTTCTACCTGTCTTTTCTGGTGCAAGCAATTGAAGATCCATTTTTTTAAAGGTGAGGAAACAGAAACTTGCCCACTGCCACGCACGGCCACATCTCCTGACTCGCGGGCAAGGGCTCTCCAGCCTCTCAGAGGCCCTGGGAAGCCCAAACCTGAGACCCTCCTTCTGGTGCAGACGTTGGGGGTGGGGTTCTGTGCAGGCGCCAGCACCTCCTGGCTGAGAGGGAGGAAGGTCGGCCAGTGGCTCTCATCTTGGAGCCCTCATTACTCTGTTGTTTCCTCGCACTTGACCTTGGGAAAATTTCTTAAGCTTTGGAGTCTCAATGCTGCCGTCTGTTCAGCGAGAGTGAAGTGAAATGCACGGGGTAGGCACCCTACACGTCTGTGTTACCATGATCAGGATTCTGCCCGTTCTCTCACATCTACAATCGGAAGATACTGGATTTGGAAATCTAACCTCCTCATTTTATAGCTGTGAAAAGTGATGGCAGAGGGGGAAGAGTCTCATTCAAATTCCAGGCCAGGCTTAGGAGAATCAGGAACAGGGAAAGGTCAGCTCTGAAGGATTCCGCCAGGTGCCCATGTGGAGGATGGCGTGGAGGGAGTCGCCTGGAGGGAGATAGAGCAAGTAACCACTTTGGTTTCTCTCTATTTGCAGGGAGAACTGGGCCTACCAGGGCCCCCAGGAGTCCCGGGCCTCATTGTAAGTACACAGATGCCTGGAGAGGGGGAGGACTAGGGGCAGAGTGTGGGGAGCCAGCCGTGAGTCCTCCTGAAAAGGCCCCTCTCTCATCAAACCCCAGGAGGAGCTGGGGGAGCAGGACAGACCGGTCTGGGCAGGGTGCTGAGGGAGGAAAACCCTGCTGTGTGACCTTAGGTGGATTACCTACCTTCTCTGAGCCTCATTCTTTATTAGTTAAATGGGAATGGGTGCTTGTAGCATGAGACTGCCATGTACTTTCACACCTGCTGCCTGTCCATCGCTCTGCAAAAGGTCTAGGCAGGTGGTAGCGTGCCCATTGGACAGGTAAGGTGCTTCAGGCCCAGAGGAAGGAAGTGGCTGGCAGAGGAGCTGAGGCTCTGGGCCTCCATCCTTTACAGAGAACTGACTTTGGAGCCAGACCACCGAGTTCAAGTCACAGTTCTGCCACATCCTAGCTGTGTGACCTAGACCAAGTCACTTGCCTTCTCTGAGTCTTAGTTCCTCATCTATAAAATGGGGATGATGGTAGAATCCTCTTGGGGTGGTTGTGAGGATTAAATGAGGCATATCTTTGGTGTAAGTTCTGGTACTCAGTAAATGTGCAATTAGCAGAAAATAGTTATTTTAAAATATTATTTATTGTTACTATCTCCTGATGTGTCCGGGACTGAGAGAGGTCTGGACACAGGGAGGTGGGAAGCAGTCTGACCTCTGACTCTATCCATGTTGGGGTAGGCCTTGTGGAGTGGTGCTATTAGCCAAAACCAGGGTCTCCCCTGGGCATTCAGAGGGTGAGCTTGACCTTGGGCCCAGCCCCCAGGGCCAGTGACAGGCCTGAGCCTGGAAAGTGACTCTGGGAGCTTCGTCAAGGGTCTGATGCCCCTCTGCTATGTCCTTTGGGTCATTCCTCCTGGGGTTTGAGCCTGGAGGGTTCACACAAGTAGACTGGTCCCTAATTTGACAAATGGGCTGCCAGCTTTGGCTACTCCAGCAACTGTGCCAATAAATTCTATCGAGAAGGAGGCTGGAGAAGGCCCTGGGAGAATTGAAAGCCCCCTTATTCCGGGGAGACCCATCCTGGGAAGAGGGCCCAGAGGCTCCCATTGGGAGTGTCTCCTGCCAATGTTGGGTGGGAGCAGAACCAGGTCAGGGAGGGGTGGAGGTCGGAGCAACCTGCATCCGAACCCTGGCCTCACCTCCTCCTGGCTCTGTGGTCTTCAGTTGTGGCCTCACTCCCTGAGCCTTGGGGATCCATTCTGTGAGATGGGTTCTTTGTGCCGGCTTCTGTTCAGACCATGGGTATACCCAGTCCAGTCCAGTCCCATGGCGAAGAGGGCAGTCCCTGAAACCGGATCACCTGGGTTCAAATCCTAGCTCTACCACTCATTGAATTACAATTCTGAGCAAATTTCTTAACCCACCCTGTGCCTCAATTTCTTCATCTGTAAAGTGGGGATATTAGTGCCTAATTTGGAGGAGTTTTGTGAGATTTAAAGAAGCTAGTACAGACATAACATTGTGAACTGACTATACTTCAATTAAAAAAAAAGATAAGCTTTGACAATAAAGAGCTGAAAGACTCAGGAGAAAAAAAGAAGCTAGTACATGTAAAGTGCCTAGCACATAGTAAATGCTCAAGAAGTGCTACTTGTAATAATAATATATTTAATAATAATAAATTTTTGCTATTATTTATTAATAAGTTAATAGATAAGTTAATTGCTGTCAATAAATAATTATCATCATCATCATCATCATCATCATTTTACACACACACGTAAGATATTTTATGCCTGGTAGCAGTCATCTGGGTTGCTGCATGAGTAGGAGTTGAAAGTCACAGTGGAATTTAATGGGACAGAGTGCTGTGATTGACTGGTGATGTCTGCCTTGGTTTGGGACAAGGAAGTGTCAACACATGAGTCATACATTTGTCAGCCCTGATGTCCTTTGCTGAACACCTTTTTTGACACAAGGCACTGACCTAAATGCTCTGGAAAAAGAGACATGCAATGCATGTTAGAGAATCTGACTTTATGAGGCTCTCAGAAGTCTTTTAGTCCAACTTTCTCTAAGCTCAGTGGGAGTCCCTTCTGGAGTGTCTTGGTCATATGATCATTAAACTCCAGCTCGAACACCCTGGTGTTGGGAGCTCCCTCCTGTGAAAGTCCCATCCGCTTTCACAAAGCTCTCATTGTGCGAGGTTTTCCTGTGCAGTGAACCCCACTCCTCTCCCTACCCCTGGGGGAGGTGGTTCAAGATGTAAAGATGGTTGTTGTTTGTTCTTCCCAAGGCTCTTTCTTCAGGCTATATGATCCCCATCCCCAAAGCTTTTCTGCAGGAATGTTTACGTACCTTGGCTGTCATCCTTGGCCCACGCTCCTATTTGTCATTGTTGGCGTCCACTAGGTTGGATCCTGAGAGGGGCAAGAATATTGCTTGGCCGAATGCATGCAGATTCTGGACACTCAGACTATGCCATCACAGCCTTCAGGCCTCCTGACTCTTTACAAAGCTCCTTCCCACCGATGCTCCCCTTTGCTCTGCACAGTTAGGGCTGCCAGATAAAATAAAAGATGCCTAGTAAAATCTGAATTTCAGACACAGTATTTAAAACACATTTATACTAAAATATTTTCTGTTTGATTGTTTATTTGACATTCAGACTTTAACTGGGCATCCTGTGTTTTTATTCACTCAATCTGGCAACCATATGTGCAGTATCTCTTTGGAGAATCCCACTGGGCAGATGGGCATATCGAGGCGCTCGGTCAAGGTCACACGCAAAGCAGGAGAGGATGGAGGCATGATCGGGGGCCATGTCTCCCAACTCCTAGTCCAGGGCAGTCCTCTTCCTGCCCCTCTTCTGAGCGGCCTGAGCTGGGGGCGAGTCCCGGGCATTCCTGCATTTCTCAGGCCCTGCGCCCCCTCCTCATGCCCCTTTCCAACGAGCTGATGCCCACCTCTTGCCCCGTGTCTTTCTCTGACCACTTTCAGCCTGAATTCCCCCTGTTTTTAAATTCCCTTTGGTGCCAAAGTGACATTCCCTTTTACCTTGTGCCTGGGGGGTGGGAGTTACAGGGCTGGACCTGAGCCCTCACCAAATCAGCACTGCTCTTCAAGCCAGTGCCCTCTCCTACCCAAGGCACGCAGTCCACTCCCACCCTGGGTTTTTGGGAACAGCAGCTTCTGTGCCTGGGAAAAAATTGTCTCCCCTAAGAGTTGGAGAGGAAAGGAATTTTCTAACCAGGAGCTAAGGGGAAGAGGGATTGTGAGTCACCTACGGTTTTCCAGAGGATGTGGGTTTTTTTAGCTGAGCAAATGGGAATTCCACGTGCTGATAATCATTTTAGTGGAGATTCAGATTTATTCAATGCTTTCTGTCTACTCAGCTGAAGCAATTTGCGTGCAGACTGAAGCTGAAACGTCCCCTGTCCCCTGAGTCCTTGCAGGCGGGAGGAAGGGCTGGAGAGGACAGTTAACATTTACGGAACTTCTGTCTGTTCTGCATGTGCTTGACACGCATTAGGCTGGGAGCCTTAAGATGCTTGAGGTGGATGACAGCAGCCTGGTCACCCAGATGGGGAGGCTGGGCCCGAGGTCACTAGCTAGGGACTTGCAACCCAGACCTGTGTGACCCTGATCCCATAAGCCTCAGAGATGAGACTGCCTTGAAGCAGCCCCCTTTGCGTAACTGAAACCCTTTGGCTGGCCCTCCAGAAAAGTGTGCCTGATTTCCGAATCTGCTCAACAAAGACAATTTCTGTCTTTTTTATTGACACAGGGAATTTTGGCTCCTTCATTTAATGAGACCTAAAGAATATGTGATCTGGCCAAGTCCCAGCATGTGGGATATAGGGACAAATCCACCATGTTTTGTCACTAAATGATTATCTGGCTTTGCTTCTTTGTCTATGAAGTGAGGTCAGGAACCCCATTAGCTGACATTTACCCAACCCTCACGTGCTGGGTCCTGTGCTAAGTATTTAATTATCACAGCAAGCCTCTGAGGGTAGAAAGTGTCTTACAATTGTACGCTTAAGGAAACCGACGCTCAGAGAGGCTGAAGCACCTGCTCAGAGTCACACAGCTGTTAAGTTGTACCTGGGCCTATGTTCACAGCTCGTGCACTTTACGGCTGCACCACACACCCAGCTCCATGCGACTTCTGTGCTGAATGGAGACAGCAGATGTGTGAAAGTGTGGACTGGGTAGGGCCAGAGGCAGTTCTGTGGGAGAGATGGTGCTTATTAAGACCACACAGGAGCCAGGACTGACTCCAGCCCCCAGGTCCCCATCCCTAAGAGTCTTTGTTGCCTTAAAAGGCAGTTCTGGGGAATGAGGCCAGATTTTTCCTGGGAGGGTTTGTAAATGCGAGTGTGCAGGCTTCTTTCTCACCCACTGGTTAAGCCACTTTTAGTGAGCACCTCCTCTGGGGCCTGGGGCAGGTGGTGGCCACGTGGGCACCCATGTCGATAGTCGATGTGGAACAGGCCATGAGCAAAAGCCACATCAGGCTCAGACCAGATGGCAGGGGTCTGGCCTGGCCTGTGGGACGGGGACTTGCTGCTGGTACTATGGGCGGAGGACCAATGGGCGTTGACAATGTAAGCTCAGGGCGGAGCACCCTGGGTGTAGGAAACAGGGGGCCCAGGGTGGCATAGCTACAGGGGACAGCAGGGCAGGAAGGTAAGACTTGTGCAAGGGAGGGAGGGAGGTGCTGCCATCACGGCCATCATGAGGATGGGCACTGGGAGCCCCCCCAGGTTTGCTTTCAGGGGTCCCCAGATGCCTGCTGGCACGTGGAAGCTGGGAGGGGCTGGGGGAGAGGACCTCTTGCCTGTTTTTGAATCTCAAGCCTGTCTTCGTGTCCTGTCACTTATGAGTGACAGCAACCAGGAAAGGCCTCCTTGGGTCCTTTATTGGAGTAAAGAGAGTGGACCCTGGGCTTGTGAGCATGGACTGTGGGGCCAGACAGACAGACAGACCTGTTCTGGTCCTGCCTGTGTCCCCTAGGTATTGCTTAGCCTTGAGTAGGTTGTGTCACCTGACTCTGAGCCTCGGTCTTCTCATCTGTGAAGTGGAAGGGCACTCGTGATGGTGCTGACCACTTGGGGTTGCTGTGAGTGGTTGATGAGCTTCCAAACAGCAACGCTGCTCCTGGCACAGCTAAGCGCCTGCTGGCGAGGACTGACGAGACTTGGGAGTGTGGGGAGTGGTGACTGGAACACAGTAGGAGCTCTTGCAGTGGTCACGGATGTGGCTGGTTGGTTGTGTTCTTGGTGGGAGTTGGCGAGATGAAGGGCACAGAGTGTAGAGCAGCGTCTGGGAGCTCAGGCAGACGTGGAGACAGGTTCCAGATTATGGGCATTACTCACTGTTCCTTCTCGTGGGAACTGCTATTGTGTGTCACTTGGCCAAGCTGCCCATGACAGTGTCGAGCATGGAGAAGACTGGTACTGGGCAGAAAGTGGCCTGGAGTTTTCTCTGTTCTCCCTCAACTGCTTTTATAGTGGGGGTCCTGCCAACCTGGGGAAGACCTGCCCTAAGTGAGCTGCCACCTTCTCCCCATATGCCCTGCAGCCAGACCTCCTTTGCCACGGGTTCCTTGGGTGGGCTGCCCACACCAGCCCCTGTCCCCCACCACACACAGACCCCTTTGGAGAGGCCCTCAGAGGCGGTGCCCCTGCCCAGCAGCGTGGTAATGCCACAGCTCCCAGTGGTCCCACATGGGCATCAGTCGGGCCTGTACTGAATTCAGCCTTTGCACAAAAAGCTGCCTTCAGGCCTGCAGCAGGGAAGAGGGAGCCTGTGTTCCCAGAGCTGCTGGCTGGTCCTCTGCCCAAAGCCCGGGCCCTTGGTGGAGCCAACTGCGCCAGCAGGGCCTACTCTGTTTATTTGTCCATCACGGGGGATTTGGGCGGGCCACCCCTTTCTCCCTTCCTCCAAGAAAAGAGAGGGAGAGAGAAGATGCAGCCAAAGCATCCTGCTGAAGTGCTCTTCTCTGAGGTGCTGAGTTTCTTTCACTCCAGCTCTCCCTGGCCAGTGACCCTGGCTTCTTTCCAAAGAAAGAATTCTTCAGAATTGTTTAGAAGTTCTGGGAACAGACCGCCTGGTGTGAATCCCAGCGCTGCCCAGCTCTGTGATTTGCTCAAGCTTAGCCTTTCAGAGCCTCAGTTTACTCATCTGTAAAATGGGGATAGTAGCAGGCTCTTAAGGGTTGTCGTGAAGAGTCACGGAGTTGAGGCTTGTAAAGTGCTTAGCAGAGAGCCTAGCAGCCAGTGTTACCATATCACTACTAGCACGTGTTAAACTGAACCCTCCCTTTCTTAAGATTACTTGATGGGAACCGAAAGCAGAATTTCTTGGCAAGGCTCAACTAGGTTTGGTTTGACCCAGTTAGGTGGGGATCTTGAGGTTCAGAGGGTTGAGGGTGAGAAGAGGCATTGCCTGAGCCAGGCCACGCTGCGATCTGTGAACTCTCTCTCTCCGTCTCTCTCCTGGGGGCATTCCACCACCTGGGCCCCTTGGCCCTTCCAAGGGATGTTTCATTCTTTGCTGGCCTTCCTCCAAGACGTCTTCAGGCAACTCCCACAGGAACCCATTCTTGAGCCTGGCCACCTGGGGCAGCCTTTGTTTCTTTGATGCTTCAGAGCACTTGCCAGAGGCTTCCGTGGAGCCTGACTCAGAGATGTGGGAAACAGAGGCCCAGAGAGGTCAAGCACATTGTTTGAGCTCACACAGAAGCCAGACATTCAGATCAGTCACAGAGGATGGAAAAGGGAGAGAAGAGAGTGCTTCAGGGGCCCCCTTTCCCTGGCATGGGCTTGATGTGAGGCCCCACGGCTGAGGGCAGTGGAGACAGGGGAGCGCAGGAAGTAAGGAGACTTCAGGGAAAGAGGGTGAGCTTGTTTAGAGAAAATCCAGTCAGTCCTGCACTCTAAACCAGAGTTTCTACCCTCAACACTATTGACATTTGAGCCAGATAACTCTTCATCATGGAGCCTCCACCGACCAGATGCCAGCAGCATCTTCAGTTGTAAAAACCAAAAATGCTTCCAGATAGTGCCAAGTCTTTTATATGTGTTGGTCAGTTACTTCTCCGAACAACTCTAGGAGGTACAAAGTGTTAGTCCCTGTTTTAGATGAGGAAACTGAGGCATGGAGAGGTTAGCCCCTGAAATCATGCAGTGAGTTGAGTAGCAGAGGAGAGATGGGTCAGGGTAGTCTGGCCTTGATGCACAGAGGCACACCTCCCGGCCTTTCCCCAGCCCTCAGTGAAGGGCTCCTTGTGAAGGGGACGTGGCTCTCCAGAGTCTAGGAACTCTGCTGCTCCCAACTTGAACAGTCTGATCTGATCTGATGCTGGGTCTCCAACCTGTGGTCCAGGATCTACCCACTGATCTTAGTGTCATAGAGCGTCTGTCTGCAACTTGGGTGTCTGTAATTGATAGCCCCACTCCTTCTGGGTTGCTGTCCTGAGGAGATGATCCAGTTTCTGGAAGCAGAAAGTGCCTCCCCCTCACTAAGCTAGTCCTCAAAGCCTCTGTGTGTGCTTATTTAACCCTTACAGCAGCTCTCGGGGCGAGGGAACATTGTCTGCATTTTATAGGTAGGGAGATGGAGGTCCACAGAAGTCCAGTGAAATGCCTCGAGTGCCTTAGCTAGTATGGGATGTAAAGAATCTAGTATGAGATGGAAAGAAGTGGTGGGAGGGGTAGCAATCAAGGAATGAACTTGGGAGAGGACCTATGTGAAACTGACTCCAGTACTTCAGTGGAGGTGAACATTCCTAATTATAAGACCAACCCAGTGGGGTCATGTCCTCAGAATCCTCCCCAGACCAGCCTCCTATGAGCCACCTCTCATGGTGTCCTCTTCTCTTTCTCTTCCCAGGGCGACATGGGAGTATTGGGTCCGATCGGCTACCCAGGACCCAAGGGCATGAAGGTAAACAACAGCCATCCCTTAATCTGGTCTCATCCTAGCCGGGCACCCCCTGGCTCATTTCAGCCCGGAAGGAAGGATGCCCCAATGCTCTGCTGAGGGAGGAGGCGGGAGACACTCAGAGGGATTCTGGGAACACGGTAGATCAAGGGCTCAGTTCTTCTCAGTCCTGAGAGCCGGTCTCCATCTGCGTGTCATTTATGCCAGACATCTTTATTGGACAGCAGTCCTCCAGCTGAGCATGAGTCAGACATGGTTCCAGACCTCAGGGCACTGAAAGTCCAGTGGGGGACATCACCAGGGCCATAGACACTATAATGGCAAACCACTGAGCTCAGGACATCCCTGAGTGAGATGGGCGTGCAGGAGAAAGGTGGACTAAAACTGCCAGGACCACGTTCCAGGGCTGATCCCATTTGGCCAACAAGCCTGTGACATGGCTCATTAAGCCCATCTCTCCCCATCAGCACCCTTCTCCCCTGGGTGTGCCCAGAGCACTGTGCTTCACCAGTCAACTGCCCTGTCTCGTATTCCTTCAATCCACACCATTGCCTTTTGGGGTGGGGCTCATTGTCCATTTTTACTCATGAGAAAACTGAGTCCTGGGCTGGGGCATGCAGCATGGGTTCTTGCAGCAAGCCAGTGGGTTTACCCCAGGGCTCCTGACTTCTGGGGCTTTGAGCCTCCCGCACAGCTGAACGCTGGCCTCTGTCTTGCAGGGACTGATGGGAAACATGGGGGAACCCGGACTGAAAGGTGATAAGGTGATCTGAATACTCCCTTATTGCACTGTGTTTTATCTGCATGCGAACCCTCTCCGCCTCGACGCTGCTGCTGATTTCTCGCCAGGTCCACTCCCCTGCACTCTACGTGCCTCCCCTCTGGCCCCCTGAATCTGTACTCTTCATCTTCTTCCTTGTAACTCCGGGTGGGGCCCAGGCAGATGGTTCTGGAGGCATGCAGACCTTGGCCGACAGAGCGTAGGGGACTGTTGAGGCACAGGGTGGATGGTAGGGCGAGGCAGATCTCCAAATTTGGAGAGCAAAGCTGAGGCCAGTGTCTGGGCTTTGAGGCCAAAGCCAAAGAACACAGAGGGTGGGGATGGGGAATGGAGGGACATGGTGCTGAGATGACAGGTCCCAGGGCAGTTGTGATGTGGGGTCCAGAGACCCCCTCCCAGGCACAGGAGGAAAGGAATCCACACTAAACTGCCAGGATTGGAATTGGGAACCCATTCCTGGAGTCTGAAAACGCAACCGAAAAGCCAGGACAGGCCTCTGAGACCCTGACCTGCTTTCCTCCCAGCTGCCACCGGGAGGCCACCCTTACAGCCCTGCTGCTGAACTGACCCCGTGCCAAACCAGAGCTGTGGTGGGTAGGTGAAACCTCGGGGCCCAGCGAGGGGCAGCACCTGGCCTGGGCCCTGCAGCATCTGAGTGACAGAGACACAGGGGCTGCAGGGAGCAGTGCTTCTGTGCTCTGCCCTCTGGCCATCTTCCTGCCCTCCCCGCCAGGCTCCCCAAGGGGATGTGGGAGAGCTTTCGCGCAGCATCCAAGTTTCCACAAGCCTGAGCAGATAGGAGCCACTCAGCTGCTCCCGGGCCAGGCTCCCTCTGCACCTGTCTCCAGATGACTGTCCTTCTAAATGTGAGGCACAGGAGCAGGTACCAGTGCTAAGCACCCTTGGAGGGCTCTGCGGGGATTAACCCATCCATCTTCCACCCCGCTATGAGATAGAAAGCTTGTCGGGTGCACACCACTGGTAAGTAGTATCAGGATTCGAACCCAGCACTTGTCAACAGAGCCCTCAACCACGGAACAGGACTGAAGTCAGAAGGACAGAGCTGATGAGGCCCTTCAAGGTCACCTCCTTCAATGCCTATATTTCACAGCTGGGGAAACAGACCCAAAGAGGAAAGAGATGCATCAAAGGAAACTTGGTGATCTATTGGAGCCAGCTCAGACCTGGGATCCTTAGAAGACTAGAGCCGCTGGGCTGAAATGGGCACCCTAGATTGTCTTACCCACCCCCCACCCCTAGGTACCCGGCCGCGCAGTTCTAGCCCCAGTCTTCTCCATCTGTTTCCACCTCTCCCATCTCTTCCCGTAACGCCCAAGCCTCCAGCTGCAGCTCCCTCTGCCTCAGCCACTCTGCCTTCTGGCCCTGCCCTGCTGGCTGCTAAGCCCCCTCTTCCATGGCCCTCCCTCTAGAGATGCAGGGGCTTTCTGCTGGAGGCGGGGGCTTCCCCACCGCTACCTGTTTACCCTGTGGTTTGAGTCATCGGCACTCTGGAAATGTTGAAGTCATGGATGAGGGGAAAGGAAGTGGGGGAAATAGAGTAGGCTGGGAGCTTTTTATAGGACCTTTGCAGAGCTGGCCTCCAGCTCACTGTTTCTTCAGGAACATGGAAATAAATGTGTTACATAGAACTCGGCAGGCTTGCTGACTGGTGATGCCTGGGGCATTTAGAGATGTGAAAGCTCTGGAAAAAAAAAAAAAGAGGAGGAAATTATTTCTCTGCTCAGAGTTCTTAGGAAAATCAAATAAGTCTTTGGGGTTGAAAAAATGCAAAGAAAAGAGGAAAAAAAATTCTCTTTTTTGCCCCTTTGGCTGGGGAGGGGTATTAAGGCTGTGGGGAGCTGGGTTCCAATCAGCCCCTCTTCATCCTCACCCCACCCACCCCAGCCCTCCCCTGGGATGATGGAGCCACCCCTTGATGTTCTGTGGTCATGCTGTGTAGAATCCCAGACTGTCCATGACCCAGCCTGGCCTCAGTCCCACTTACAACCCACCTGGCTCCCTCTCCCCACGTGGAAGTGCATTCTGGAACCAAGGGTCCTGCTCCAGGCCCAGCTTTCTCCAGATCCATTGCCCTGATTTCTTACATGTCTTTGAACATTTTTTTTTAAACCATCTTACTCCTCCTTTGGCTATTTAAAAAAAAAATGTTCCGTGGTTCCTAAAAACCCTGAGATATTATACAAGATTTTCCAAATTGGAAAAACCAAAGTAAGTTAAAAAAATTTTTTAATTAAAAAAAGAAATCTGGCTTTTGTTCTACCAAGGAAGTTCTGCTGGATCATGGCCTTAGCTGCATGACCTGGATTCTCTAAGATTCCCCATTCTTCCTGGGTTTTTCTTCCTATTCTTCCAACTGCTCCCAGGGCTGTGAATGTTTCTTGAGTCCTGGGGCCAATGTACCAACATGGAAACCTGGAACTGATGAGGGCCGTGTGTGATGGTTCCAGCTCCAAGGAGAACGTCTTCCAATCTGGTTCTACGACAGCTCATTTACCAGGATGTGGCTGAATATAGGGAGGGAGTAGAGGAACCCTCTGACAGCCAGAATCAGTGGCACCAAGCCCACGCAGTGCGTCATCCTGGAGAAGAAACGCCCAGACCTAACTCGAGGCCCATTTACTCGCTGTTTACACGTAGTCTGAACAAGCCAGGCGCTCTGGTTTCTCATGCTATAGCTGATTAAAAGCAGCAAATTAGCAGTAGACTGAAGCATACTGCAGGCTTAGAAACTCCTACAGAAGGAAGAAATGACAGCTCACAGATCTGGCGGTGAAAAATACCAAGTAACAGATGCAATGCCTCAGAACCCACTGTGGTGTGGGGCCCCGGTCCAGGCTGCACGCTCCTCTGTGTGACATCAGTTGATGAGGAAGAGGTTGAAGGATCAAGACACAGTTCCTTTGACCCGCAGGGTCAGTTCTCCAGGCAAGGCCGGGTGACATCGGGCAGTGTAGCTTCTGTTAGTGGAGTTCTCAGCCACCTGAGCAGCCCCAGGCAGACCTGCGGACAGGCCACAGGCCGGCTCTGTCCCCACAGCCCGCCTCCCCGCCCCCCAGGCTCCTCCCGGCTGGGGCAGGGTTGGGGACTGCCCTTTTCTCTACCAAGGCTGCTGCTGGTCAGATCCACTTTGGGAACAACCTCGGCAAGGCTGCACCTTGCCAGTGGGTCTGATGTGGGGGAGGCTTCCGGAACCCACTGTGGTCTCCATCGTAACCTTCTTTGCTGGTGTGTATTTAGGGTGAACAAGGGGTTCCAGGTGTGTCAGGAGATACCGGATTCCAAGGAGACAAGGTAATTGCAGCAGGTTCACCCCCTGCCCCCTGCTCTGCTCTTTTCTGGCTCTTTTTTTCCCCAGGGCCCATCAGGGGCCAGGGGCCACCTGCAAGATGGCTTCCTCTCATGCAGTACTGTCTTCTCCATCACTCATCTGCCCTCTCATTGTCTCTTCCCTGGACTTTATAACGGCCTCCTGAGTTATTCCCCGGCCCCAGCCTCTTCCCTCCCAATCTGTCTTCCTCACCGCCACAGAATTGTTCTTCTGAGGGCCTAGCTCTGCTCTGAGCTCCCAGCTCAGCCATGGCTCCCTGCTGCCCCAAGACTGGAGTGCTGGCTCCTCACCCCAGCCCCCAGGCCCCCAGGCCCCCAGTGCACAGGCCCCTCTGACTCTTTCCTGCCCCTTGCCCTCCCAGGCCTGTGCTCCGGCCCCACTGACCTGCCCCCTACACCTCAGGTTTGCACACACTGCTGCCTCGCCCAGCACACCCTCCGCCCCGCCTGTTCACGGCCCAGCCCTGCCCCACCTTCCAGAACCCCACATGGCTGCCATTTTCTCTGTCTGCTTCAGGAGTGGCCGTTTCCCCTCTGAGTGCCCCTCACCTGTGGCAGCATACTTCTCCCCTGGTTGAGGGGGATTTGTGCTCAGCCCCCTGACAGATGGCGGGTTTCCTAGGATAGGGCCTCCGACTGGCCCAGATGAGCTCGGCTTAGGGTCCTGCACAGAATGGTGATCATTCAGGACACGTCCAAGGATCTGGCCTGGCTGACTGACTGTTGAAACCAGGCAGCCTGCCAAGGCCGGCTCCTCTTTGCCGATGTCCGGCACCATGTGGCCACATCTGGACCTCACTCAGCCAGTCAACGAGGCCCAGATGTTGGCCAGCGCTCCCTCTTCCTCTCCCCTCCCTCCTAGCTGCCCTGTCCTGACCCAGCCTCGACGTCTCTGGGCTGCCCCTCCAGCCGGGCCCCAGTCTCCAGGCTTGCCAGGCATCAGGGACACTGCAGTGCCTGCTGGGGGCCCCAGGGTCCCAGGTTCCAGCATGACCTGGTGAGGACAGGGGCTGCTGCTTCACCTTTGCATCCCCAGGGCCCAGCCCACAGAGTTGCCAAGCCGGAGCTTACAAACAGAAAGAAGGGAGTGGGGAGCTTGTCCTCCCCCTAAAAGTGGATGTCCTCCAGGCCTCAGGCTGGCAATGATGACCATGCAGCTGTTCCTCTGGCCATTTCTGGTCCTCCCTAACCCCAGCTTGCTCTGCGTCTTTTCCAGGGGAGCCAGGGATTGCCAGGGTTCCCGGGTGCACGGGGGAAGCCAGGGCCTCTGGTAAGTACCTTCTGCTTCATAACCCCCTAACCTCACACTCTCCAAATGGTCATGGAATGTGACCAGAGACTCCTTCAGATCCAGGATCTCATTTCCTCCTGCAGCAGCCCAGGAGGCAAGTAGAGCAAAGCAGAGATGGAGATTCACCCATTTTACAGATGAGGATACTGAGGCCCAACCAGGGCAGGAACACACCCAGCATCATAGATAGGCCTCAGTCACTGGCAGAGCTCTGGAGAGAATCCAGGGTTCCCAATGCCTTGTAAATAATTATTAATAATAGCAGTGGGTGTTGTTTATTTATTGAATGTTACTACAAATCAGATCCTTCCTGTGTTATATGACTGCCAACAACCCAGAAGTTAGAGGATTATTATTGCTCCCATTTTACAGATGGGGAAAGTAAGGTTCCAAGGTGAAGGACTTGCCCAGGATCCTGTGGCTAGTAGGTGCAAGAGAAATAGATAAACAACAACAAGGTCCTGCTGTATAGCATAGGGACCTGTATTCAATACTTTATAATGGCCTATAATGGAAAAGAATTTGAAAAGGAATAAAAAATAAATAAGTGTAGGAGACGGGGTTTGAGCAGCAGCTCCTTGTAGTTGTCTAGGCAGATATCACTCATATTCTCCTGAGTTTTCCAACCACCTCCTGCCAGGGGGCTAATACAAGGGTTTGGGGGAAGGTGGGCCCTCACTTACCTCTGAATCCCCAACAATCTCTTCCCTTCCACAGGGCAAAGTTGGGGACAAAGGATCCCCTGGGTTTCCTGGGCCTCCTGGACCTGAGGTATGTGACACGCTATTTCTGTGTGTCTGGCTGCAACTGGGACTGGCTGTTGTCATTGGGAAACTAAGGTCTCTCCCAGAGACAGGGAGAGACTTGCCTGAGGTCACATAGCAAAAGAGAGATGAGGCTGAGAATATCAATCCCTAGACCAGTGATCTTTTCCTTTCTGCCTCTGCACCTCCCGGCTTCCCTAGGGGCTCTCCCAGGCGGTAGGGCAGATGCTGGCCTCAGACACCCTCCCGAGCTTAGTGGCTACCTTTACAGTTCCAGAGAAAAACCTCAGGAAAGCCCTCTGAGCTCTAACTGCCTGGCCCCTTCACGGGCGCTCCCCACAATCTCTGCCGTGGAGTTTGAGGCATCCAACCCCTCTGAGCCCTGGAACCTTCCCAGCTGCCCACAGCCACCCTGGAGAAGGGCGGGGCTCAGGGCTCGCAGATATGGGGAAGCAAGAGGCAAATGTATAAAATTCTGCTGTTTGAATGGAGAATGATAAATAATGAAGGATGGATAAAGCAACTAACATATTAACTCTGGTTGAGACTCCTGAGAGTCTGATACATGTGGCCGTGAACACAGCTATGTTAAACATTCGTCCCTGGCATTCACGTACAAGGGAGGGGGGCGGCTGGTGGAGCCCTTTTGGCTCTGCCCCTCCAAGTCCTTGTCCCCAGTACTGGGACCAGCTCTGGAGAACAGGGTGAACAGTGCTAAGGCTATTGCCAGTCTTAGGGGGCCCAGGTCAGCCCAGCCCCCTTCCCCCGCCACCACACCTCCCGGCCCTGGGGCCTTGTTCCTCCATGAGGTCTTAGAGACAAAAGTCTGGCCCTGCCGGGTTCTCCAGACCCTTCCAAAGATCACTCCTGGTATCGCCTGGATGGATGAGGGAGTGTTTCCTGAAAGCTACAAGCTCTGCTTCCCGCTGTGTTGACTTTGGCCGTGACACAGTCCTATCTTTAGACAAATGGACTTGGCCTCTCTTCCATGGCCCTGATTCCTTCCCTTGGTCACTGTGGAAGAAGACTTTTCTGAGAGTCTGGGTTTCCCAGCAGTCTGGCCAGTGCGGGTGGAAGGCCTGTTCCCTCATCTTTATCAGGCACCACCTCATGCCAGGCGGCTGTGTGGTATCTTCAGGATGAGAACTGGTTGAATCGCCACCACAACCATGTGAGGGGGATGCCGCTACCCCCATTTTACAGATGAAGAAACTGAGTCACTGAGCAGGGAAGTGACCTCCTCAGGGTCACTCTGCTACTTATAGCAAATGAAGGTCTTTATTTGCTCTTTGGCTTCCTCCAGGGCCCCTGGGCAGATGTGGGGGTCTGCCTCTCCCACTTTGTGTTCTGTTTGGATTGGCTGGCTCCCTATCCAGAAGGTGGCCCTGCTCAGCTGAAGTCAGAAGCTGATGCGCCTGTCAGCGCCTTCCTTCCGGAGTCTTTGCCTCCCTCCTTTCAGAGACTGTGGGCGGAGCTCCAGCTCTCCAGCCCCAACGTGAATTAACTCTTTCGCTCATCAGTGGATCTGATCTGTGTGAGCACCACCATTTTATCAGCATCCTGAGCTTCAAGCTCTCTATGGAAATAGGCCCACCCCAGGCAGACTTGTTTTCCCAGGACACAGGACCCAAACCCTTTCAGAACGCAGATTTTTACTAAGTGCTTACCGGGTGCCAGATACTGAACTAAATACTGCACCCAACTTACTGTCTTAAAGAGGCTTAAAGCCTCAGAACAGCCCTGTTAGGTGATGTTATGGTCACCGTTTGACAGATAGGAAACCGAGGTGCGAAGAGGCTTAGAAACCTGCCTGGGGTCACACAGTGAGTCAGTGGCAGAATGGAACTTTGAGCCTCTCAATTAGAAGAAAAAGACATCAGGGCTTTGGCTTCCTGTGTTAGCTTCAAATTCGGGACGACTTTTGCCTTTGCTAGTGAGAAGGGTGAGAGGATGTTTGAGCTGAAATTTTAAAAAGTCACCAAAAGCTCAACAGGGGAAGGGAAAAGAGCCACTCATGAAGGCGAAGTAGGAGAGCATTTTTGGTCTAAGGGATTCAGATCTCAGGCTTTGGTTTCTGGCTCAGAGAAAACTGAGTAGTGGGTCTGCCCTGAAAACAAATGGGGTTCTAGGCTGAATTAACAGAGGTATTACACCTAAAAGAAGAAAGGGGATGTTCTCATTCTGGCCTGTGCTGGTCAGTTCACACCTGGAGAAGCATGGTTGTCCTACTGATCACCGATGATGGAAGCCAACCAGTTGGAGACAGCCAGACTGAGGGGCCCTGGGCCCCTGAGTAGAAGGCGTTGAAGGGACAGGGAAGGGCAGGCTTCTGGGGATGAGGTGACTGGTCTCCTAATTGTGCAAAAGACCACTATGGGAAGAAGGACCCCTTTTGCTTTGAGGGTCCCTGAGGGGCAGCGTGAAGCCCTTGGAGGAGGGAGGAGGAGATTCTGCTCCATGTCAGGAGGAAGCTTCCATGAACAGTCATCCATCAGGAACAGGCCTGGTCAGGGAGCAGTGAACCTTCACCTGTAGCGTGGGGCAGGGTCCAACACACCTGGCCAGGATGTAGCGGGGACTGCAGCTTCGGACATGAGCTGAGATTTACTAGATCAGTGCTTTTCAAACGTTTCAAAGTCACAACAAACCCAGAACATAAGCATACCTGCAGGATACCTGCAGTCAAAGGATGGTCCTTCTCAGAGCAGAGGGTGCCTGGCTCGAGGCCCTGGCTGCCCCAGGCTCAGGACTTGGGAAAGTCTAGATTAGTCGACCGTGTATGTGCTTGCTTCTGTGTTGAGATCTTCCTTCCACTTAATTTTCTCAGCAAGTCTCTGAAGTGTAGGGGCTGGTACCAGGATCCTTGTTTTAGGACCAAGAATGGTACCTGCCCAGGGTGACATCCCTTGCAGAATGGGATGGAAACCCAGGTTGGTCCCCCTCTTAGCATTTCCTTTCATAGTGACCCCTGCTCTCTGCTTCCCTTCAGGGTTTCCCTGGAGACATTGGCCCCCCTGGGGACAACGGCCCAGAAGGCGTGAAGGTGAGTCCCTGCCCAGGGTGGTAGCTCCTGCTGAAGAAGCTGACACCTGCGGAAACCACAGGCCTACAGGGCTGGCTTCCTGGCTTGGAAGCAAGGGAACCTTGCTGGCCTGTGTTGGAGATGGAGGTGCCGCCTCTTGAGATCCCTTTTTTTCCCTTCTCCCCAGGGTAAGCCTGGAGCTCGAGGCCTGCCGGGACCCCGTGGGCACCTGGGGCCCGAGGTGAGACCGTCTGGCCCTGCCCCCTGCCCATCCCTCCTAGCCCCCAGCCTGCTCTGTCCTGGGTCCTGGAGGCCTTAGCTGGGGGCCAGGGCCCCTCAGTCAGGAGACACAGCCAGGGCCACCTTGCGTTCCAGCTCCTCCTTACAGCCTTGCCCCGTGACCCTTCCAGGGTCCTTCTCTGCCCCACTCTGGCTGGCAGGTCACTCCCGCAATGGCACCCCCATTGCCCTGGGGTCTCTCTCGGAGCCACTGCCACTGCTCTTGCTTACAGTAGCACAGTTTACTGGAGTATTGATGTGGGAGGGTAGGAATTGTTGGCTCAGGTGAGGCCGTGAGTCTCAGGAAGGTGAAGGGACTGTGTCCCGTCCCATGGTTAGCAGCAGGCAGCATCAGATTCAAACCTGGGTCTGCTGAGCACAAAGCCTATGACAGACCCTATGCTATAGCTTCTGGGCTCCTGGGAGCTACCTGGGGACCTCCCCAGGGAATGGCATGACTTGTGCTGCTAGTAAGTGGCCGAGTGAAGATTGCCTTATTTACTGTTCATGACGAAGGGGATTGAGAAGTTCTCTGGGCCTGCTGGAGCACCAGCTGGAGGGCTGTTCAGCACCCGATGGATTTTTCCTGTGCACAAGGCCCTCTACCATGCACCTTGGCTCAGGTCCTAGGGCCCCGTGACACACAGCCCTGGGTGATGGTGCAGGAGGCCCAGACTCACCATGACCACAGGAAGGCGTCTGGCTGACATGGATCCCTTCTCGGGCCGGTTCTGGGTCTGGCACAGGTCCCAGCATGGGCTCTGGAAACTGCCACGTGGGGTTGCTTTCCTGGAAGCTGGAGGGGTGGTGGCTCTGGAAGGGGCCTCTTGGTTAGGTCTGGCATGCCGCTGGGGGCCGGTTTGGAGGCTGCCTGCACATGCAGGAGGGCCTGAGGAGTCTCCGCCTATGGGAAGTGGGAGGGGGCTGGAGGGAAAGATGGTACCAGCCCCGCGCTTTCATCTACACTCACAATACCGCTCGAGCAGACCCTCAATACGCCTGCCATTTGCTCTCATCTTCACTGATGCGTTCATCCACTCATACGTTCATTCAGTCGTCCACTGGTTCCCTCTCCCATGCCCTCCTCCCTCCCTTCATGCACCACACACCCACTAGGCCCTGGGCACACCCATCCTAAGTGATGTTTGAGGGATGGCTTCAGAAAAGGTAAGAGATCATGGGTCTCCTCCAGGAACTCAGGCTAGTCATCATAGTTTAGGATGACCCTCTCTGCCCTGCACCATTTTACAGATGGGGAAACTGAGGAACAGTGAGGCTGAGGTCTGCCAGCGAGTAACCATCAGAGCTCAGAAGACAGCCTGCATCTCTGAGCTGCAGTCTGGGGCTCCCCTCCCATGGCAGATGATGGGGTTTGACTTTCCTGCCCAGCAATACCACCAACCCCGGCTGGTCACATTCAGATGGCACTGAAGCTCCTGTGTGGCCTGGCCTCTAGGACTCTGCCCTGGATGGGTCAGGCAGGCGGCCCAGGTGCCCTCTTGGTCCAAGGGGGTTCTCCTGTGGCCACCCCTTTCCCTCCTAACAGGTGAAGTTCTCCAAGACTCCCACTGGATTAACCTTTCTCCTTTTTTTCTTCTCTACTGACTCTAGGGAGATGAGGGACCCATGGGGCCACCAGGGGTTCCTGGCTTGGAGGTGAGTGTTGCTGGCCTAGGGGAGGTGGGGTTTGTTGTGCTGAGAGAGCTCTGTGCAGGTGGGCAACATCTGGGTGGTGCTCTTGAGAGAAGTCGCCAGTGAGGGCCTTGGGCTAGCCAGGGAGGGGGCTAGGACAGACCCCAGAGGAGAGAGCCAAGACGCATGAAGCTGACTGGCTGTTCTTGCCCACCTACTGTGTGCTGCTGCTTTGTGTCCATCTTCATTCATTTGATTCTTCCGTGAAAGAGGCACCGTCTTCCTTCGTTTCATTCAAGGCCATCCAGGCTCAAAGAGTGAAGGGTTTAGCCCAGTAGCTCACAGCCAGGAAGTGAGCATGCCCTGCCTGGAACCTAACCTTGGTTCTCTCCACTGCACCAGGTGGCCTTCCAGAGTGATTCCATCAATCAGCAGTTGGTGAATGTTTTGGTCTCGGCACCTCTTTACATTCTTAAAAATAATTGAGGACCCCAAATGCTTTTCTTTGTGTAGGTCACATCTATCGATCTGAGTATTAAGCCTGAGAAACTGTAAAAGTTTTTGTCAATTCCTTTAAAATCAGTAACACTCCAGGATTAACAACACGCATGCTTCATGTTAACAAAAATAATAGTTTTTAGAAAAATAGGTGTATTTTCCAGAGCAAAATAATCTAATGAAAAGAGTGGCATCATTTTACCATTTTTTTTGCAAATCTCCTTAATGTGTGGCTTAAGAGAAGTCAGCTGGGTTTTTCAGTCTGCATTCCATCTATGGATGATACCATGGTCATGTAGCCTCTGGAAAACTCCACTTACATTCATGAAAATGAGTGACACAGGCAAATGACATCTTAATATTATTATGAAAATAGTTTTGACCTCATGAATCTCCTCTGAAAGGGTCTCAGGGACCCTGAGGGATCCTCGGACCACACTTTGAGGACCACGGCATAAACCATTTCCCTGTGTCCTTTATCTTCTGTCTGGTCCCATCCTTTTCCTCTCTGCTTGAAAGCGGGTTTCATCATCCCCATTAACAAACGCGACCAGCCGGGGAGGGGAGACTTCCCGAGGTCACACAGCTGCAGACCTTCCCTGCATCCCCATGACAGCTGGCAGCCTGGTGACCTCAGGGCTCTGAGTCCCTCCTGACGGGGCACTGTGGCCCTCTCCTCCTCCCTCCTGGCTTCGCTCACTCACCTCTCCCTGTTACAGGGTCAACCCGGCAGAAAGGGGTTTCCTGGAAGGCCTGGCCCAGATGGCTTAAAGGTGAGGGGACCTGGAAGTGACTGGGCTGGGGAGAGGGAGGAGGGAATGCCTGGGGAAGAGAGGAGATACGGGCAGCCAGCCTCTGAAGCCCTAGGATGAGCCCCGAATCCCTGACCTGTTGTGAGAAGGACAGGAAATTGTCCCCACTTATCAAAAAGTATGGGTAACAGAGTGGAACAAAAGGACATAATCTCAGTGTCCTTGAGCACTGGGGTAGTGTTCAAGTAAGGGGTACAGTGCATTCACCAAAGATGGTGTGCTGCAAGATTTTACAAGACGGGAAAATGCGTGTGCCTTCCGGGGGTGATGATCGGGGTGAGGAAGCAGGTCATAAAGCGGAACCTGCAGGATGCGCCCGCGGTGGGGCTGGGTGCACCCTGTTCCCGACTGCTCCGTGCAGAGGCCGGAATGTGGACAGGGTTATCTCTGGGTGGTGGGATTATGGGAGATTTCCATTTTCTTCTCTAGGCTTCTATATTTTCCCCATTAGGTACCATAAATCTGCATTTCATTTATTAACAGTTTTAAGTTATCAGAAAAGAACTGGCGCTAGTAAAATTGTATGATCCTCAACGCATGGGCAGCTTAATGGCTTCCCAGGGACTCCCCTCGAGGGATGGATTTCCCCAGCTGTCCTGGGCAGGGATCCTTAGGCCAAGTTTACAGCTGGGCAAATGCACAGAGGGTTAGGGCAGAGCCAGGGGGCCCAGGCTGTCCAAGTCCCCTCCCCCCAGGGGAAATGGCCCCGTGTCTGTGTCTGTCTGGCCCCTCTGGGTGTCTCAAATATGAGGCCTTGGGGAGGAGCTGGAGGGGAAGCTGAGGCTCAAGCCCGGATTGCTGTGAGCCACATCCATTTGTGAGCCAAACTCCTGGCCAGTCCGAGCCCGTGTCCTGGCCTCTGAGGTCTCGGCTTTTCTCCCTCAGATACCGGCTGGGTTTCTGTGGTGGAAGCAGTGACGTGGCCTGGCTGGATTTATCCCACGGGTCTGCTCACCAGGGCGGCTGTGGCTGCCTGGGGCTCAGGAGCCACCCCAGCATGGGATAAAGCTGACAGACAAGGCTCCAAGAGGCCACCAAGCCTGAGAGTTGGAAATAGCCTCAGGGACCAATGAGTCTGATTTTCCTTATTTGTATCTGGGGAAGCTGAGCCCCGAGCTGGGACAAGACTCACCAAAGTCACTTGTGAGCTGGTGGCAGAGCTCTGGTGGGTTAGGTCCAGGACCCAAGTGCCCTGACTCCCCAGTTCCATGCTCAGCCTGGGTGGGGCAGCGTGGTATACTAGGAATGGCGATTTCAATCAGTCAGACCAAAGTTCTAATTCTAGCCGTAACCTTCAACTTGCTGTGTGACCTCGAGCAAGTTACTTCACCTCTCTGAGCTTCAGTTTCCACCTCTACAAAATGCAATTGGTTGATGAAGGGCCCAAATGAGATACAGACATCAAGTGCTAAGTAATCTACAGAGAGAATGGTGACTAGAGTCATCTTTGGGGCCAGAAGTTCTGTCCCAATATCTCTTGTCCCTGCCATTTGTTTGGAGTCTCCAAGACCAGACTTTGGAGTTATGTTTCGGGATCAGCCTCCACTGGTGGGAACTAAGGCCAGTAGGCTGGGATGTCCCCCAGGAGGCCTGTACTCCTGTTGCCTTGCCCATCCCTAGTGACCTTCTTCTGTTTCTCTGCAGGGTGAGCCAGGCGATGGTGGACGGCCGGGGCCCGTGGGCGAGCAGGTGAGTCAAACACTGTCCCGGAGCATAATGACTGCCTTTCCTGAGCACTTACTCAGTGGGAAGCACTCCTGTGCACCACCTCATTTCATCCCTGTGGCAGCTGGAGAGATAGGTTCGTTGATCTCCCCCTTTCATTGATATGGACCAACGCTGGCTCTGAGGGAGGTGAGGTCATTGAGTGAGAAAACCATGAACCTTGGTCATGATGGCTGTTCCCCACTGCCTGACTCTGCAGATGTGTTGGGGGCATTCGCCCAAAGACATTACATGACTTTGCTCCCAGAATGTGAAAGCTGGAAGAGCCCTTAACAGTTGCCGCCCGTGCTTGATTTATAGACAGAGAAGCTGAAGACCAGAAAAGCAGAACCACCCCTTGCCAGGGCCTCTTGGTCCAGGCATCCCTGAATTATGAAGAAAATGGGATCCAAACCAGTGGCACTTCTATTTAGGAAGCCAGGCCAAGGTCTGAGGAGGAGAGGAGGTTGCAAGTAGTTGTTGAAAAGAAGGTTGGAGCACCACGACCTTCAGTATCGAGGTCCAGGGCCCTTGGCGCTGGAGAGCAGCAGCTCGGAGTGCCGGGTGGATGACAGGCCTCGTCCCTCCTCCGCAGCCCGGTGCCTCCTGAAAGCTTAACCTCTGGGCTTATAGGTCAGGTCGGGAAGGTCGTAGTCTCCTCCACTCCTTTAAAGAAGGACCCCACCCTCTGAACCCTGCAAGGGGCTGCCTCAGGCAGGAAGGAGGAATGATGCTGGGGTCCCAGAAGAATTTATCTCTGCAGAGAAACACCATCAGTGGCGTGAGAGTCACACACGATGAGCTTCCTCACCAGGCCTGCAACATCTGTTGGGGGAAAGAAAGGAATTAAAGCAGGAGGAGGACTGGATTTTTGAAACCTTTCCAGTGTCATTCGAGCGCATTCTGTGGGAAGCCCGGGAGTTTGGAAGGGCTGCCGCGGCCTGGATGTATTTCCTGATTGGAAAAAAAAAGGCAATACATTCAGCAAATTTAATTTCATAGTTATGCTCATGGTAGGGCCCTCGGGAAATAGATACTCAGAATCCTAGGATGTCAGGGCACAAAGGGTCCCTAGAAATCACTCTCTCTTGTGCCTTGGATCCCTTTGGCAGGCCTATGAAGCCCAGGGACCCCTTCTCAGAATAGAGGATTTTTAAATGCATTAAATAGGAAACAAAGGACTGCAGAGGAAATCAATCATATTGAAATACGAATATGACAGTATGTTAAAATGTGGTCTCATGGGTAAGCTGCTTTATTCTCGCTTTAAATAACGAGATCGAGAGGCAGGTCCAATAACGACCTCAGTTTCGAAGTCTCTGCAGCCGTGGCTGTCATGTGACACGTAAATATCTGTGGCCGGTAAAGATGCTGCGGGTTTGTTGCCTACACTCATAGTTGAGGGAAATGCTAGATTTCAACTAGAGGTTGGTTAAAGTGAAAGTTGTCATTTTTCCCATTCAAGTTCATGGACCCCTGCAGTCCATCCACGGAGCCTTACGGGGACCCCAGGTTAAGAACCCCTGGATCCTAGTCCATGTTGGCAATCTGGGATCCATGGAGAAGAATGGGCTTGACCAGGATGACCAAGGATGGTAGTGGCAAAGCTGGGGCCAGGAGGAGCGGGAACCCTGCCAGGGGCAGCCCTGGGCCCACTTACTCGGTAGAGCCCTCAGCTAGCTGCCCAGCCTGCTGAGCAGGAAAGAGAGACCTGTCTGAGCCATGAGACAGGGCTGGAGCCTGCTGGCTGCCACTAGGCACCCTGGGGTGCCACGCCAGCTGTTCCCTTGGCCCCCTCCCAATGTGGGAAGGAGCAGACATTTCCTGTTTGTGACAGAATCAGAGGATTCCCCAGGAAAAATTGTAAGGACTTCCTTATAATCCCAGCATCAGCTACATTTATCAGGCATGTGTTAGGTTCCAGGCTCTGTGCCAGACACTTTCCATACCATCACCTGCAGTTCCTCCAGCAACCCTACGGCAGCAGGTACTATGATCCCCATTTTGCATATGAGGAAACCAAGGCTCTGAGAAGTTAAGTAATTTACCCAAGGTCTCCCAGGCGGTAACGTGGCTGTCAGAGCCCAGGTGGACACTCAGGTCTGCTGGATTCCCAAAACCTGCCCTGAAAGGGCTAAAAAACCCCTGACCTTCTGAGCTCTTACAGTTTTCTAACAGCTGGCTAGAGTGCAGCCAGCCTGCCAGGCCCTGTCCTAGGTGCTGGGCACACAGAGATAATCACCAGGCATGGGCCTTGCCTTTAAGAAGCTCTGTCCAGGGGGAAGCCAGGCATCCAAGCACCTCACCCGGAGATGTCTAGTCCAGCAGAGGACCCACGACCCAGCACCTAGCAGAATGTCATGAGAGCAGGGTGGGCCTGAGAAAAACTCCCATAGTCGACAACAGGCCTTTATCTGTAGCTGGTGTGAGGACCGGGCCAGCCTTTCCCCCCAAAATGGGGACTCAGGTCCCGCCTGTGCAGTGCCCTCTGTAGGCGATAATGCTGCTTCCTCTCCCCACCCCTGCCCTCCATGCCCTCTTGCCAGCTGAGGAGCCACCTGTCCCACAGCTGCCAGAGCTGCTTTCCCCCAGCCTCGCCAGGTGGAAGTCCTGGGCCTCTGGGGAGAGCGTCCCTGGACCAGCTCCACCCATGGCACAGGCCAGGCCTGTCTGGATGTTCTGGGACAGTGCCCCCAGGAGGGGTCCCGGTGGGGGGAGGGGGCACTCGCTGTATGGCCCTTTTTCATTAGGCTCTTGTTTGACTTCTTGTTCCTGCCTGCCTTCCAGGACCCAACAACTCATAAATTTAAAGTAGCTATGAAATTTCTGTTTCTCTGGGCCAGTCGGGCAGGGGCCCCTTAACAGAGCAGTTTTTATTCCCTTTACTCGGCATCCTCTAAATGTCTGACTGCTCCCTTGTGGGCAGCTCAGGCCTCTGTCTTAACCCCATGCCCTTTTAAAATAAATTAAAATGGGATAGGAGGAACTAACATTTATAGAGTGCCTGTAAGTGCTGTGCAGTATCGCCGGTTCTCAGAACAAGCCTGGGGGGTAGGGGGAGCCCTTTATCTAAGTCCCCTCACTCCACACGTGAGGCTCAGAGAGGCTCTGCAATTTGCCCAGGGTGCACAGACCTGAAGATTGAATCATGATGACATAGATTAAGTGTCAAGTATAGGGCTTGGCCCCTCCCCCGTGCCAGCTGTTGTTATTAATATTGCTATCACCTTGAAAATGATCGAATTAACTTTTAAAGTCGTTGTTGCAAAAGTCGAATACTTGGTTATTTTCTGTGACTTATTAGCTGTGATCTCACACCTTGTCCCTCACTGCTCTCACTTCATACTTCAACCCTGAAGGGGCTCTGAGCCCAAGGCACAAGGCACCCCATGTGTGGCAATGGTGCTGGGGTGCCAGGGAGATCTGTGCCCTGCTCGTGGCCACACGCATTGCAAGGACAGGTGCATGGGGTTTGGAGCCATACTGATCAGAGCTGAATGCCAGGCTCAGCTGCAAGACACAGGTAGCCCTGGTCTGAGCTGCCACTTTAAAACCGCCTCTGGGCCCCACAGAGCAGACCTTTGGAACAGGGTGCGAGTGGGGTCTGGGCTTGCTCCTCCAACTAAGCTCCTCACGCTCGCTGAGCGTGTGCGTGTCTGCCTGCTCAGGGCAGCCGCGGGGCCAGCAGCCACCTAGAAGAACCCTGGAACGCAGAGACGAGTTATCACCCAGTGGAGTTAAAAAGAGCAACAGGAACCACAGTGTGTGAATGTGAGTGTGTGTGTGTGTGTGTATGTGTGCCCTTTCAGAAAGGAGAGGAAGCCTTTCACAAGACAGTAAAAAGGCCTCCACTTCCCAGATTTCAATCAGGTCTTTTGGCGAAGGCTGTGAGGGTATTTCTATCCTGCCAGCAGGTTCGTTTTTTTTTTCTTTGAAACAGCCTCAGAGCCCTGAAAGATGGGGACAGATTTCTCACAGGCAGCCCTCTTCCCAGCACAGCTTAAGGGCCGTCCCCCACCTCCAACCCACCCCTCAAAACCTCCCCCCAACACCCCGTCCCCAAACGTGGCCGCCTCCCAGCTTCTGGCGCGGGAAGAATGTTTGGCGCTTCTAGGGATGCTGGCAGCGGCCCCACGGCTTGGCTCGGAAATCAGAACCATCTGGTGGAGTGGAGGAAGTCAGGACAGTGCCCGAAGAGAGGCAGCTCTGTCCTCGGTGGCAGCCCCGCGCTGGCTGGATTACCAGGCACGGGCAGGAGACCCGGGAGACAGGTCCAGAGGAAGAGAGAGGCAGGCAAGTTGCCTTTGAAACTTAGCACATCCCTGAATTCACCTTCCTTCCTTCTTTCTCTTGCTTTTCTACTCGTTTCTTACAGGGACTTCTGGGATTCACTGGTCTGGTCGGGGAGCCAGGAATCATGGGAGAAAAGGTAAGTTGTGTTGGAGGGGAGATCTAAGCAAAGAGAGCTTGTGTTTAGAAGTTTTAAAAAGGCAAAGAGGCCAGTTGCCCTGGGGATTTCAGACCTCGCTTCCCTGGCCTTTCAGACCCTCAAAGAGCCACATCCCTTGTCGCAGCATCCCCTGGGACTGCACCCCTGCCCTCCTGTCAGCACCCCCGAGCGCAGTTAGGTGTCTGTGTGACAGCCATCGATGTGGCCTGGGCTGCTCATGGCCTGCATGCTCGCATTGCACAGCGGGCAACAGAGGGAGGTAAAGATTCGTTTTTCAAAAAAGGAGCCCTTTACATTGCCTTGTTAATCACCAGCAGCCTTATTTCACAGACCCAATTACCAAGGCTCCAACAGGGGTGGTGACTTACTCAAGGTCACCCAGATGGGAAGTGGCAGAGCTGGGATTTGAACCACCTTCAGTGCCCATGGCCACACTCTGCCTCACACTGGCTCCCAGCCCAAAGCATGTGACTCCCTGTTTCGCACTGTGGGTGCTGGAGGGGAGGGTACCTGCTTTCCTGTGTAGGGCTTACCTGATCCTCAGGCAGGGCCCCTGGGGGGGGGGAGCCGATATTATTCCCATTGGATAGATGGAAAGACTGAGGTCCTAATCTGGCCCCACCTAGCTTTCCAGGCTCATCCCGTGCCTCCTTCCTTGTCACTCCCTCTGTCCCAGACCCTCTGACCACCACCACCACGTTCTTCTCCTCCTCCCTCCCTTCTTCCTCTTTTTTTTCTAAATTTCACTTTTTAAAAAAGTAATTATACTCATAAGAATTTGCAAAAAAAAAAAAAAGCACAGAAATGTCCTGAGTACCCTCACCCTGTTGCCTCTGTGGTAACACCTTAGATAACTTCAGTGCAATATCCAAGCCATCTCTGGCCTTCTTTTGTTGCTTGAGTGTTCTGTGTCCCTCCTCAGCGTAGCCCATGCCGTTCCCTTGGCCAGGTACACCCTGCCCACTCCATCCTCCAGCCTCCATCCTCTTTGCCTAGGTGGCTCTCAGTTATCCTTTAGCTCTCTTAGGTCACACAAGACTTTCTGAGGGAAGCCTTCCCCACCACACCTCTGCACCCAGGTGGACCAAATCCTCTATCAAAATGCCTTGGCTCTGAGACCCACTTCCTCACTGCACTGACCCCAGTTTGCATCTGTTTTGATGATTTGTGTTCGTCTCCCCGTTAACACTCTGTCTCACTCCATGTAAGCAAGGTCTGTCTGTCTCTGACCCACCATTCAGGGTCTCAAATATCATACTGGGCATATAGTGGATGCCGAAGAAATGTTTGCTGGCTAGGTGGATACAAGAAACAGGGCCTCAACAAACAGAGCCAGGATTCAAACCCAGAGCCCCATCTTCCGGCTGTAACTCTGGCTGCGGCACCCTTCCTCTCTGCCTAATCTGTCTGGATTGGTCAAGAGAGACTGAGTTACATCTCTGATTCTCCAGCATCTCATCTAGGTTTGGGCAGGGGGTGGGGAGACTGAAAGAAATGCCTTCTATTGCCAACTCTGCCTTAGCAGGCCCAGCCCAGGGAATGCCAGGCCTAATGGGGACCAAGGATCAAAGGGGACAATGTATTTAGCAAATCCCTGATGAGGACCATCCTTGCTCAAGGGAAGCCCATTGTGTAACGTGCTGCAGTGGAAGCTGAGGCCTTCCAGGGCTTGCCAGGGGTCTTGGCTTCTGCAGAATGAAATCCCAGGACCCTTGGGTGATGTGGCTATAGAACTTGGACAAGTCCCATCCCTCATTAGCCTCTGGAGGGCCCTCTGCACCTGACTCCAACAGGGCCACCCCACTACCGTGACCTCCCTGAATTGCTGTCTCCATCACAGGGTGACCGGGGCATGATGGGACCCCCAGGCGCGCCCGGACCCAAGGGGTCGATGGTAAGGAGCAAGTCTGCATCCCCTTGCCCTCTCCTGTCACAGCCGTGGTGACGGCTCTGCTCTCCTCTGCCTGCCTCTGTGTACCCCAGGCATTCACGATGACCAGCTCCTTCTCCCTCCAGGAGGCCTGGCTGCTGCCCGTGTGGCCCTGGGCTGGGGCTGAGCCGGCCGAGGCAGGACTGCAGGAGGAAGAGGCACCTTCCAGAGCTGATTCCTTCTTTTTCTTCTCTTTCTTGGTAGGGTCATCCTGGAACTCCAGGTGGTGTTGGGAACCCCGGAGAGCCTGGACCTCCGGTAAGCAAAGCCCTCATGTACTCTGAGCTCAAACCCACTGTTGAGTAATGTGAGGAGTCCAGGTCTCAAAGTCCTGGCACTGGACTCGAATCCCAGCTCCCTCACTCCCTGGCTATATTGCCAGAGTGGATCATTTAACTTCTCTGGGCCTAAATTGTGTTCATCGGAAAAATATAGAAAATAATCATGGTCATGATAGTGTGGGTGCGAGGGGGAAATGAAACCATGCAGCTAATGTTCATTACATAGGGATGCTCATTGCAAAGGAGTGTCATGGCCATAAGCACCACTATTGCTTTGTTATTTCACTGGGGGTGGGGGTGGCCCAGACTCAGGGGCCCCTCCCACTCCCCCTGAGGGTGAGGTGGGGATAGGGGAGGAGTGGCTCTCATCCAGAGCACCTGGAGCTTCTGGTCCCTCTACCTGTGCTGGTCGAGGACAGAGGGAGATGAGGCAGGGCACTCACTTCAGCCAAGGTGGAGGCTCAGGGCTGGGTGCCCACTCTGGCGAGGGGGAGGGGTGGGCTTCAGGCAGGGAAAGGGTGTAGAGGGAGGGGTCGGGAGCAGGCAGGATCCCGGGGCAGGGCTGGGGGATGATGAGTTCAGGCTGCCCAGGTGCCTTCACCGGCCAGCCTGAAGGGTTCTCTGGGGTCTGACGAGGGAGGGAAAGGGAGCCTTTGATGGTTTGGACCCAAGGCAAGTGCACACACACCAGTTATCTGAGCCAATTAGGGAAACATGGCCCAAACTTTTCCATGCACCTACTGTTTGCTGCGCCCATGCTCAGTCCTGGAGATGCAAAAATGATTAAAAAATAGATCCTGCTCTTAAGATTTTTACTGTCTGGTATAATTGTCCTCTCACTCATTAATAGCCCTTTACTGAACACCTACCATGTACCAGGCAGTGGTAGGTGCTGAGGAGGGATACAGAAGGGCTAGCCCAGGGCAGGAAGCCTGGACACATAACCATCATCCAAAGATGGAAGTCCTAGTCAGCGGGTGGCCCTGTCAGCCCCCCACAGTCGTTTTGGTGAGGTGGGGAACTCACTGTGCAAAGTTGGGATCTGAAGCTAACACTCTGGGCTCCTGATGGCATACTTTACCCCCTGTTCGCAAGAAGGAGGAAAACCTACATCTGGCCTGGGGCTGGAGGGACTGGTTGGCAAACTGAGGCATAAGCTGAGGGTCCCAGCCCATCCAGCCCAAAGGCTGCTGGCCCACCTCCCTCCCCAGTTTTCACAGGACCTGAATACCAGGGCCCAGCAGACACTTCTGGAGGTGGAGTGATTGGAGCCCATCAGCATAAGAGGTGCCCAGGGTAGGGCAGAAGCCAGAGAACAAGGATGCTAGGGGTTCATCATCAAATTCTATCTGTGCCCCTGGACCTTGACCTCCTTGAACCTCAGTGTGCCCATCTGTCCAGTGGGAGGAGGAAAGCCTGGAAAGGAGGTGTTAAGACAAAAAAGAAGGCCAGTGGGAGGTGGAAAAACAGTGTGGACATCCAGGCCAGTATAGAAGGAAAGTACAGGCCTTCTCTGAATCCCCTACCTCCGAGGCACCACTGACCTCCTTGTGCCATTTCCTCAGTGCTTCCATCTGTTCAATGGGTTGGCTCCAACTTAGTGAAATCAGGCAATGAGTAACCGCTTTCAGATCCCAAGCTTGCCATTGACCCTCCAGTGTCACAGTGTGGACCTGGACCCTTGGATCTCTTGGGGCTCCTTTTGGACAGCCAGCTGCCCCAGTGCCACTGGGGAAGCAGAATAGCATGAAGGTCCAGAAAGCTTCAGAATCAGACACGTGTGAGTCCTGGATCCTCCCTTACTAACTGTGATTGTAGACAACATTTATAGCTTCTCTGAGCCTCAGTTTCCCCATCTGTGAGTCGATGTAATACCACCTTGGTTATGAGATTGTTGTGAGGAATAGATGATATTGTGCATGATGTAATGCTTAGCAAACTACCTGCATAGACTAAGTGTTTCATGAATGGTAATCATAGTAATTACTATCGCTATTTGTTGGCTATGGTAATTACCACTATTATTAGTGAGACTATTACTATTAAATTGACATTTCTGATGATACTGTTCACATCTAATTGGCATTTTCCACTTTTCCAATCACTTTAACATCTGTGTTCTCTTACAGTCCACTGAGGTCAGCCAAGGTTACTATCTCCATTATTTGTTGGGGGGATGGTCAGGTTCTGGGGCCCCCAGTTTCTGACCTCCTCCCCCTTTAAGAGAGCCAACAGTGACCTTTCACTGAGGACCCTCTAGGTCATTTCATTTTCCCAGCAACTCTAGGAGGCAGAGACTCTTCTTATACCCATTTTATAGATGATGACATGGAGGCCCAAAGAATTTTAAGTCACCTGCCAAAGGTCACAAAATTAGTAAGTGGTGGAGTTGGGATTTGAACCTAGTTCTCTGGGGGCGTAGTCTGCTCTTTAAGGCACTCTGTTGCCTCTGAACTGAGACTTGGCTCCTGAAATTTCCCAGTGACTCATTGCATACCTTCTGCAGTCTGAGATCCCTCTCTAAAATGGCCTGTTCTCACCCAATCTTCATGTTCTCCATCATCTGGGAGTCAGATCTGTCTTTTTATTGGGCCACGCTGGGGTCCACACCCTGCTTGCTCTGCTGACAAGGGGTCAGGGTGGGACCCAGCCCCTCACATCAGTTTAGCAGTTGGAGGGTCTGTACCCCTTGAGGCTCGGGGAAGAGAGAAATAGGAGCAGAAAGAGTTTTTCCTGAAGCTCCAAACAGAGTTGGGCCTCTCCCTGACATTCGGAGAGGGGATGAGGCTGCCTCTTCTTGAAAAAGGAGGACGCCCAGTCTGAGAATCGCCGCTGAGCTGGGAGGCTCCTGAGCTGTCCGAGGGGCCCTTGGGCAGCGAAGGGGTGAAGGCGCAGCATGACGTGTGTAGCTGGGGCTGGAACCCAGGGAGGGAGACCTAGCCACGGGGAGAGCGCCTTCCTCTCGTCATCTTCTTTCCCTCCCTTTCCACCCTCTGTGCTCTTCAGTCCTTCCTCTAAATCCCTGTCATCAGCCTGCCTCGGGCCAGGTGCTAGGAATGCAAAGAACAGAGCCAGCCCTGTGTTTTCTTTCCCTCCCTCCCTGTTTCTCCCTTGTGCCTCTTCTTGTCATTCCTTCATCAAACCGAGATAACCACGGAGATAACGGGCCATCTTCCTGTCTTCCTGGGCCAGGCCCTGCTCCCTTCTCTTGGCCTCCCTCCACCCCCACTCCTCTGCCCAGGCTTTCCTCCTTCTCCCCTCCCCCTCCCTGGCCCTCTCCCCTCCACCCACGCTTCCTGCTCCCCCATCCCAGGGCCATGGACTGGTTCTGCCCCTTCTCACCGCTCCCCCCACCGCCGCCCCCGGGCTCTTTCTGCCCTGGTCAGAGCCTTCTGGACGCTTTCAGGTAATATTCAGGGTCAGAACTTGGGTCACCATATTCTCCTTGTGGATGGAGAGAGAAAAGGGGACGTGAGTGTTGGAGGAGACTTTGTCAGGAATGTCTTCATAGCTTCTGGTTGTTGATTTTGAGATAAAGAAGAAAGTGGCTCATCCAGCCAGGATGCCTTTTCCCCACTGCCAGATTCCCAAGGCGCTGACTCCTGCTCAAGGTGGCAGCTTGTCGGCTGCTTCTCCCCAGGGGGCGGGTCTTCCCACTGGCCGGGTACTTCCATCTGGAGCTGCCGGGCCCAGGAGGGGCCTCTCCTGAGCAGCACTTGTCTGCGGCTGCAGGCCCAGCCTTTACTTTACTGGTAGTCTTGCTCCTTGAAAAAGGGCGTCTCTAAACTCTTTCTCCTCCCCACAGGGTCCTCCAGGATCTCGAGGTCCACCGGGCATGAGGGGAGCAAAAGGACGCCGGGTAAGTGGGGTCCAGCCCCCAGGGACTGACACTGGCTGGGGACACTTGCCAGAGAAATTAACTCCTGGTCCTTGTCCCCTGCCCAGCCCTGACATCTATGACTTTCACAGCATCGGGCAGGGTTCCAGGCTCATCCCGGGTCTGACTCTGGGCATAGTATCCCCACCCATCTTTTCCATACCATTTCTGAGCACCAGGCCTTGCCATCTAGTGGGCGTGGAGGGGCTCTGTGATACCAGTGCTTTGTCCATCCATGTGTTTGTTCACCCTTTCATTCAGCCACCATTTATTTAGTACCTCTTCTGGGCCAGCCACTGTTGGAGGCTTTGCAGATACCTATGCAGAGAATAGGATGGCAGGACCCTGGCTTGGCTTCATGGTTCAATCAAGTAGGTTAGACAGTTACAGGGTCATTAGCGTGTTGATGGTGGAAATCAACAGGCACCTCGCCTGGACAGGGTACCAGAGAAGACTTCAAGGAGAGGGTGACGCTTGAGCTAATGCCAGCTTCCAGGCAGAGGGAAAGCCCTAAGATGAGAAGGAGTCATGTGTTTATGGTTCAACAGAGGGATGAAGAAGGGATGAGACCAAGAATTAGCAGGCATCGAGCCAAGCAGGGCCTCAAACACCACAGCTAGGCCTATGGGCTCTGCTTCAGGGTAGTGGGGAGCCACAGAGGGTTTAAGCACGGCTGGCCTGAGCACAGTAGCCAGAGGTAATCACTAGTACTTACTATGTGCCAGGCACCGTCTATCACGTACGTTGACTCATTTAATCTTCAATGCTACCCTGTAACATTGATGCTTTTCTTATTCCCATCTTACAGAAAAGGAAACTAAGGCACTGAGAGATTAAGTCACCTGCCTCAGGTTGCACAGCTAGAATGGCAGAAGTGTGATCTGACCCCAGGGAATCTGACTCTTGTGAATGCTGAAGGCAGGGGGGGCTGACGGAGTGGCTTCCCGCCTGCTTCCCGCCTGGCCCAGGTGCCAGGCCATGCAGCCTTGTGAAGAGAAAGCAAGAAGGCGCAGGTGGAGCCGGCAGCCCAGGCCTGGCATTCAGACTCATACAGGGGATCTGTGATGCTTATTTGCTTCTTGGCTGGATTTCAAGTAGTTTAAAAATTTCCCCTGAACCAGATGGTCTGAGCAGTCAGCCTGGGAGAGGCAAGATTTAGTGGCATTCCTCCGGCCTGGCAGGGCCCCTCCCAGTGCCATATCCTGGTCTCTTCGAGTGGCTGAGGCCCATTGGCAGCCGGGTTCCACGTTGACCCCCTGCACATTTCCTCCTGCCCCAGGAAGCCAGACTAGCTGGAGGGGGAGCTGTGTTGGCCCAGGTCCTGCCCCCTACAACCTGCCACATGCAGAGGCTCAGGCCCCCAATGACTCACTGAGCTCCCCACAACCGTCTTCCCACCCCTTCTCTGGCTGTGGCTTGAAGAATGTATCTCCTGCTTGAGGAAACCCAGGCTCTCAACCACATGAACGTCTCGAGCTGAAAGGGGAGCTTTGGGAACACAAGCCCCTCCCCGTGCTGGGTCTGGAAGGAATGCAAAACCTGTGGAATCGGCCTCCCCTGGGTTCCCTGCCTGACTGGCCACCGCTCCACAGATGGGGAAACTGAGGGTGGTGGGGGACCAGAGGGGCACCTGCTGAGCCTATGAAAGAGCTCAGTTCTGGGCAGGCCCCCTGTGCAGCCCCTGGCTTGCCCTGTGACTGTAGCAAGGTCTTGCTGCTCTCTGGGCCTCAGTTTCTCCATCTGTGCTGTGGGAAATGAGCTTGGAGGTCTGCAAGGCCCTGCGTGCTTCTCTGCCTATATGAAGGATGGGCCCTGCTGCCCACCACTCTCTCACCCCACTGCCCTGGGCAGAATGAGCACTAAGGGGTTGAGACCAGGGCCAGGATGGGGCCCCAGACCCTTGGCTCTTGGAAGGGCTGTTGATCAGGGTCTAGGTCCACAGGCCTCAAAGAGTGGGGCTCTGGGGTCACACAGGTATAGGGGCAAGTCTCAGCCTTCCCAGGTACCCACTCTGGGACCTCAGCCCAGTTTCTTAACCTCTATAAGTCTTGCGGGATGACATAAGGAGCCAGACTTTGAACCCAGTTCAGCTGAATGCCCATTGTTTTCCACCACTACCTGTCACTGTTTACCAGTGTGGGAGTGAGCTCCCCATCAAAGGGGGTGCGCAGGTCAGGGCCAGGGGCAGGGTGTTGGAGAAGACAGTGTCTAAAATCCCTCTTCCCTGGGAGACTCCGCTATCTCCCTCCAAAATCCTCTTTGAGGGAGTCGTGAGGATTCTGAGATCCAAGTGCCCGACACTGGCCTTTGCCTCCTTTGGGTGGGGCTTAGAGCCCCTCAGGTTTGGCCTTGAATCCCAGCTCCTCCTTTTTGATCTTGGGCAACTGACTTGCCCTTTCTGAGGTCACAGTTTCTCCTTTGTAAAATGGGTCAGCACCTGAATAGACCTCTTTTGATAGCCGTGGGGATTAAATTCCTTCGCCAAAAGCTCGAACGTGGTGAGCACCTGGTGGAACAGCAACACGTAGCATGTACTGGGCACAAGTACACGCCCTCTCCATCACAAGGGCTGTGATTGGCCAGAATTTTTGTCCCCTGGGGCTCCTCCCCGACAAGCCAGACCCCCAGCTGTGACTGCTACAAGAGAACAGACTTATGGCTCTAACAGAAGCCCAGGCCTGCCTCCCACGGGGCCAGTTGGCCCATGTTCATTTGGGGAAGGAGGGGGCAGGACTTGGGCACCCACAGGACACAAGACAATGAGCTGCAGAGTGGCCCAGAGCAAGGGTTAGGGTATGCACTGCCCTCGAGCCTCTCCCAGCATAGGGGATCCCCTTTGCCTCCTACACCCTTCGGACAGAAAAGGTTGGTCCTGTTTCCCCCCAGCCAGCCCCAGCTTCTCGCTGAGATCTCTGGCTCCCAGGGGATAGCAGTCTCCCAGGTAAGAGGGATCTTAGACATTGTCTTCTCTAACACTGTGCCCTGGCCCTGACCTGCACACCCCCTGTGATGGGAAACTCACTCCCATACTGATAAGCAGTGACAGTGGTGGAAAGACACGGGCATCTGGCTGACTTGGATTCATATTCTGGCTCCACCACCTGTTAGCAGGGCGACCATCGGCTGTTTCCTTATCTGTAAGATAAGGATGACAGCTCTCACTGTCGCTGTCACTGCTACTGCTGTCATTGCTGTTGTTCGAGATCTCATGACCTTTCTCCCAGAAAGGCTTTCATTCCCAGGATAAACAGGGTGCTGTGTCATTTAGGCCAAGCCCTGGACACCTCGGGGCCTCCACTCCGCTCCCAGACTTATCTCTTTCCATGGAGGTTTATGCCTTAGTTAGAGACAGAGGCCAGGGGCTGGAAGCCATCTCTCAGGTGGGCCAGATGCCCACCGTCAGCTCAGCCTCTGTCCCAGCTCTCATGACCTGGGCTGCCCCCACCCCAATCTGTCTCCATCACCACCAGGCCCCTATGCATGGAACAGGGGTGGTAAGTCTGACAGTGTCCACCTGAGACTGAGGCCCAGAGAGGGGAAAAGGCTTTCCTGGGGTCATACAGCAAGCCGGCTGCAAAACCAGGACTTGCACCCATGCCCTCTAATTAGACCTCATCTTGAAAACTCTCAGCTGATACAAGCTGCCTGTTCTGAGGAAAGGACTGATTCCAGGCTGGCCATGCCATTGCTCTGTGCTCCTGCCTCTGGGGAGCCTGCAGCTCCTCTGGCAGGACCAGGTATTTTGAGCAATTACTATATGCCAGGCATGTGCATTATGTCCTGTCTTGAGGCGGAGGTTTCTCATTCCCATGTCAGAGGTGGTATACCTGAGGCTCAGCAAGGAGCAGTCACTTGTCCTTGAGACACAGCCTTTCCTGAGCAGCACTGTGCCTAGTACTAGACCCCTGATGATCCGGGCCAGGGCCTGAGACACTGGGAACAAAGGTTCCCAGCCCCGTGGTCTCCTGGCCCAGGTTTATTTCATCAGTGAGGCCCTATTTAAAGTTGTGCTGTGGAGTTGAAGCATTGGGAGCCCCAGGTAGCTAATAGAAGGCATCATCGTTTTGGGGGTTCAATTATTAATTGAAAATTTCCTTGTTCAGTATTTGAATGATTTCTCTGCGTTCCATTTTCTCATGCTTCATACCTTCCCCCACCCCAGTACTTCCCTGGGCCCATTTTGTGGCTGGTCATCTCACTGGGATGGGCCAGCCTCCTTCACAGGATCCTCCTTGTCTCCACAGCACGGCCTCTTTAGCCCTCAGCAGAACAAACACCACACTGTTCTCCATGGGGGCCTCTTCTGGGGGACCCCATCCCGTCTGTGTCTCTGTTGGAAGTCCCATGGAGGGGACACATGGGGCAATGGGTGGAACCCTGGAGGGAATACTAGCTGCTAACATGCTAAGGGACCCTGGACAAGACACTTCCCTAGCAGGGCCTCAGTGTTCCCATCTGAAAAGAGAATTCCACCTGCCCCAAGGGCCTCGCAGCTCTCAAAAGACCAAGAATCCTGTCTCAGGGGTTAGACCTGAGCCTGGAGCTCCAGGGAAGAGCTGCCTGTTCCCCCACAACCCTCATCCCACCCCCGTTTCTGCTCCTTCCTCATGTCAGCTGGGCCAGATTAACTTGCACATCTGGCTGGAGGAGGGGGCTACTCACATCTAGCCACAGGCAGACCCTCCCCTGGTCACGTCCTCTGTCAGGTTCCCCCAAGGGCCATTGTCCACAAACTGCTTCTGCCCCACATGTGCTCTCGGAAGTGCAGGTAACAGCAGGTGACAGCAGAGTCTGAAGACCTGGCTATGTGGCCATCTGTCTCTCAGCTCTGCCCTTAGTTCCCACGTCTGTGAAATGGGTTGGCTGGCTGACCCCCACCATTTCTTCAAACAGGATTTAAATGCACCACCAGCCCCATTCTGGATCGGTAGTACCTCTAGCTGAGTCCAGCCATGCCACGCCCTCCACAGAACCATCTCAGCGGGCACACTGCACTGGGAGACCCTCCTGAGAGTGGGAGGATGAAGGAAGTGGGAGTGGGAGGGAGCCCTCGTTTGTGCCCCGAAAGGCCCAGGGCTCTGGGCAGCCCCGCCCTCCTGGTTCCCAGCCCGAGGGAGACCCCTACTGTCCACTGTGCTAGTCCCTTTTTCCTATTCCAGGGACCCCGAGGACCAGATGGACCAGCTGGGGAGCAGGGGTCCAGGGGCCTGAAGGTACCAACCCCCGTGGCTGACGCTTCCTCTCACCTCCCACGCTGGGTCTGGCATCCAGACACCAGGGCTCGCAGCCTCTTCAGTAACAGGCCCCGTGGGACAGCAGGGCGTCCCGGAGAGACTGCAGGGCATGTTCCTGAGTGCTCATCCGGCCACTCTTCTGGTGCTGGCAGGCCCCCAGCACGGGGGCAGGGAGGGCAGAATGAGCAGACAGATAGGGAGAGAGGGAGAGAGCATATGTGTGAGGGAGAAGCACTGAGGGAGAGAGTGAGGAGGAATCACAAAAGGCCTCTGACCCCCAAGGCCCTCCTGGGCCCCTGAGAGCCAAGACTGCTTCTACCCCCATCAGGACCGAGGGGTCCTTGGTTCTCGACCCAGAGCACCTGGGGACTGTGGCGAGCCACTCCCCTGGCTGGGCCAGAGTTTTCCCATCTAGACACTGGGGAGAAAGATGGATGCCATGATCTCATGGGTTTCTTGTATCTCCCGTGGTAGTGGGAGTCCCTTCTCCATGAAGAGTCCTCCCAAGCGCCCTCTCCCACCTTTGCATGCTTTGCTTCCCGCAGGGCCCTCCGGGACCACAGGGCAGACCGGGCCAGCCTGGGCAGCAGGTATGTCAGGCCAAGGCTGCCAGCCCCTCTCCCCACTCCTTGCTTTGTGAGCCGTGCTTCTAATGAACCCTAAATGTGCTTCCAGGGTGCGGCTGGCGAGCGAGGGTACTTGGGCACGCGAGGCTTTCCTGTAAGTAGCACCGGTTCGTGAAATTCTTTCTGTGGGGCTCTGCAGGGAGAAAATAGCCACTTTAGCCAAGTTCCCATCCTGCTGTGGAAACTCTGAAAGTTCTGGTTGCCCACTCCCTGCCCTGAAGACCCTCCAGCACACCTCTTCGCTTCTGGGACTCAGTCTCCCCATCGTCACACAGCAGAGGGGGGGGATGGGACCCTGATTCACTATGATGGCTTGACTGAGAAGGCTATGGTGGGACTAAGGTCACCTTTGTTTGTCTCCACAGGGCATCCCAGGTCCCTCTGGCCCCCCGGGCACCAAGGGCCTCCCAGGAGAACCGGTAGGTGCCCTTTCCCTCCCTCTTTGCGTCTTCACCCCTGGCAGGCTGGTCTCAGATGGACCACCCCCCTGGGGGTGTGGGTCTTGTGCTTAGATGAGGAGAGAGGTTGGAGATGGAACAGGCCTGGGATTGGGGACAGAGCACTAATTGGGGAAGTCAGGAGCTCTGGGTGCATCTAAGCTCACTGAGACCTTCCAGCCTCAGTTTTCTTGCCAGTAAAATGGGAATAATTGTTCCTATCGTGCCACCCTGTTGTGAGGATGAAATAAGAAAACGTGGATAGAGTGCTTAGCACAGTGAAAAGTGTAGGGAAGGGAGTATTTCAAGTCTCCGAGATGGGGAGGGCAGGATGAGAATAAACAGAGAGCTGCCTGGGAACTACAGAGTCCGGTGTGGCTGGAGTGGAGGAGCCGGACGTCGGGAAGGCAGGAAGAGGTCACAGGGGCTGGTTGCTCAAAGCCATGGACAGAGTTTGCTCTTTCTCCGAAAGGCAACAAGGAGCTATTGAGGGGTTTGAAACGGAGGTGACCCTTCAGATCTCCCTGGAAGAGGAAGGTTTAGGGGACAGCCCACATATTTGAGGGCCCCGTGAGGAGGCTATGAAGGGTGTGGCTGGTGATGGAGAGGAGAACGCAGTCTCAGGGTTTGGAAGGAGGAATCTCAGATAGGGCAGGGGGAGTACTGGAGGCTTCTGCCCCCCTGGGCTGTGTCTGAAGCCCCCCATGCTTGAGGCCCAGGCAGATGCCCTTTTGAACAATGGATTGACCAGGGGCAGATGGAAGGGCATTCCAGGCGGAGGGAACAGAGTGAGCAAGGGTCGGAGGCTGGAAGGTTTCTGAGCCAGGGAGGTCGCACTGGGGCTCAGGTAATTGCGTAGGAGAGGTTGCAGATGGATTGGGTGGGATGCGCTGGACACATGGTGAGGAGGGAGCTGCAGGCACCGGTACCTTCAGTGCAGCGGAGGTGAGGGGGCGAGGGCAGTAGAGCCTCGGGTCCCATGGGTGCTCCCCATCACCCGCCCCTCCAGGCTGCATTATCAAGCCTTAGACCCCAGAGAGGGCCCAGACTGCCTTCTCTCAACTGTCTGTGTGTCTGTCTGTCTTTCAGGGCCCTCAGGGACCCCAGGGGCCAGTTGGCCCTCCGGGAGAGATGGGGCCCAAGGTGAGTGCCGAGGACCTTTGTTCGTCCCATGGTGCTGCTGGGGAGGTATCAGCCCCTCCTGGCCCTCCTCCTCGGGTGTCCCTGTCCTGTGTTCTGCAGAGACTGACGAGGAGACGCCCTGGCAGAGGGTAAAGCCACCACAGTGCCACAGGGTGAGGGGCTGGGCTCCCAGTCACAGGGGCAGCAGGTGGGATGCTGGGGTACCAACACCCCCATGGGGGGTTGGCAGTGCCTCTTTTCCGGCACCATGGAGGGCAGCAATGCCCTCTGCCCCGACCCTGCTTGGACCTCACCCCAGTACAGAGGCTTGACTACAGAACCAGTCCTCTTAAGGTCATACAGGAAGATTCTTGAAAGGGGTCTCAGACACCTCCGCTTTATCCAGAGGAGAAAACCCGGGCCCCAGGCTTTATGCAGGGGCTGCGGCTGTGCTAATGGTGGTGCTGAGGATGCCTTCCACCTTTGTCACCCTGGCCCGGCTGCAGAGACGAGGGCTGGAATCCCTCAGCCCTGAATGCAGCATCCGTTGACTTCCTTCCCTGTAGTTACGTGAATCATGAAATTTTCCTCCCTGTGCTTGCCAACAGACTCCTAATGTGGTAAACCACAGCATGGGGAGGGAGAGGACTCCAGCAGCCTCTGGGTAGCCTCAGGGCTCAGCAGCCCAGGCCCAAACACGCCCCTCCGCTTAGTCCCAGCTCCAAGCTCCCAGAAGGCTGCAGCCTGCCCCTACCTCTGTGTCTTCCATGCTGTGTGACCTCAAGCATATCCCTTGCCCTCTCTGAGTCTGCCTCAGTTATCTGCTCCCTTATACCTGGGGGCCAGCCCTTGCTCTGGGAGGGACCAATGGCATTTTCTTGCAGGGGCCACCAGGTGCAGTGGGAGAACCGGGCCTTCCTGGGGAAGCTGGGATGAAGGTAAGGCGGGATGAAAGAAGAGAAAAATGGCTTGTTGAAGCCAGCTCCCAGCTGGCGGCCACATCCTCTCCATGGAAGAGAAACGGGCCTTTCTTGTGCCTGGGATAATGGGTTCTCTGTGCTCCTGGCTGGGGAGCAGAGCCTAGCTGGGGCCACAGCATATGGCCCAGCCGGCCCGGAGCCCCCTCCCCTGCCCCCTGTCTGGCAGTGTTTTCTCTGGCACCTGCCCCACCCTGGGGCTGCCGTACCTCCTGGCCTCTGCGATACCATCTGCATTTCAGCATCAGTGCCCCTCATTACCTGCTGGGACACAGGCGCCCATTGATCCCCGGGCTCTGGGCAGAGCCCCCTCCCCGTTCTGCTGTTGGAAGGGGACACTGCTCCCTGCGCAGGTCCAGGAGACCTGGGACTGTCAGTCTTGACTTAGTTTCGGAATCCTTTGCTGGAATAATGCAGGAAACCACCCCATACATAAAACAGATAGAAATGGGATGGCTCTGGGTGGGGCAGGGCTGCTCAGAGGACAGCATGCAAATCCCCACATGAGAAAGACCCTTTTGGGGTCTTGTGGAGGAGGTGGGTGACATTCACTCTGGCTCATTTAGGGCCTCTTCCTCATTTGGGTTTTTCTCCAAGACTCTCAGGGAGAGTAAAGTCTCAGAGTCTGATACTCCCTGGAGCCAAGCTACCCGGGTTTGGATCCTGAATCTCTCACTTATCAGCCTCGTGAGCTGGGGCTAGTTACTGAACCCGCGGTGCCTTGGTCTCTTCATTTGCAAAAAAACATACCTTTCCTGGCAGGATTGTTGTGACGATGTGTGAAATTAAATGTGTGAAATTAAAAGGCACTTAGAGCAGCGTATGTAAATGTGAGCTGTGATGGTGGTGGTGGTTCTGACACGGCCAGGGCTTACTGGGAACAGGGGCTCTGGTTGGTGTTTCGCAATTTCTTTCTGGTCCTGGGCAAGAAAGATCTCCACCCCCAAACCCCCTCGAATCAGAACTGGTGAGAACAAGAAGGTGGGGTGAGAGCTGGAGCTGGTCCTACCCGCCCCTGGACTTGCGTTTGGTTTTTCCTAGGGTGATCTTGGGCCTCTGGGCACCCCTGGGGAGCAGGGCCTCATCGGGCAGCGGGTAAGTCAAAGCAATTCATTCTTCCTGGAAAGCACCCCCACCAGGGTGTTTGGGTTGGGGGAAGGGATTTATTCAGCCTCCCTGAGCCTCAGTGTCCTCAACTGCAGAAAGAGACCATGAATCTTTGCAGCCTTGTCCAGTCTCCCTTGGCAGGCCAGCATTTCCACCATTCAGCGGCTCAGAAAGAAGTATTGTGTAGTCAAAATGTTTCAGACTCCGTGTGTTCGGTGTTCCCTCTTACACATTAGCAGTAGCCTTTTCAAGGCTCTGAGAAGGCCTGCAACCAAAAACTTGGGGTTTGGGCAGGGGTTAATCCAGGGTCTGCAAACATGTTTGACCTCCAAATGTTTTTTTTATTGAAAAACAGCTGTTATCACTGAAAACTGCTCCATGGAAAGTTATCTTTCCCTTTACCAAAAGAAACCCACAGGGTTTGGTTTCCTCGGAGAAGCTTTGGGATGCCTCTGTGTCCACCTCTCTATGCTCTGTGCTGGTTTTTAAGGTCCCTGCCTAAATGTGGAGCCCAGGGGTGCCGTGAGGGATGCAGAGCAGGCATCCTCTAGCATTTTACAGATGGGGAAGGTGGGGGCCAGGAGTGAGGGGGAGTTAGTGGGGAGCCTTGGTTCATGGGGGCACCAGGCTTCCAATCCAATTTCTCATCTTTCCCCTTTCCCAATGCTTCATGCTACCCTCTGCCCAAAGTCAACAGAGGCTCCACAAATTGAGTCAAGACAGAATAAGAGGAGAAGGCCACAGGGCAAGAGAGGATGAGTGTGGAGCTTGAAACCTTTAGATGGCAATCTTGTCAGTCAAAAGAGATAGAATCAGTGTAGTTTCTTGGAGTGCCATGTTAAGAAGGATCCTGAGGCTCCATCTGGGCATAGTAGAAAAGAGAATGACGAGGACTCATTTGATGCCCACTGTGTGCCAGGCATTTCGCAGCAGTGAGTAACAGATGGCCTTGTCCTCATGGAGCCACATTTAGATTGATTAGTGATGTCTGCCACTGGCCCAAGAAGGGTGGAATCCCCACCTGTCACACGTCTTTGCCATCCCTGCATCTGATGACTTCTGAGGCCCCTTCCAGCTCAGATGCTGGACAGCTATGAAAAAGCAGAGAGAGACCCAAACTTAATTTGACAGCTATTTAGAGAACTCAGGTGTCCAGGGGCATCTCTGGAGCTAGAAAGGTAAGCAGGGAACCTGGCTGAAGGTCAAATGTTCTTGTTATCTTTCCCAAACTTGCTGGCAGGAAAGTCTGAGGGATGACCTCACTACTTTGAGAAATGGGATTCCACCAAGGTGCTCCCTGAGGACCCACTCCGGTTCCAGGAAGAATATGCCCAACGGCTCCCACTTGTGGGATGCTCATGCTCTGTCTCACAGGAACCCTTAAAGGAAGTGTTTCAGCCCTGTTTTCAGATGAGAAAACAGACACTCATGGGGGCTAAGGGGTGTGCTTATGGCCAAACCACCAGTGAATAGGAAGCCCTGTAGGGGCATCGAGGTCTGTCTGAGGTCAAAGCCTTTCTCAGCTAGAGGCTGCACACCTCCCCATTGCAAAGAACCCACCTGGACACAGGTGTCCAGCATGGCTCTGTGACCAGCACTTTCTAACTCATGTCACCCCTACCCAACCCCACCCTGTGGCAGAGCAGGCTGTGGCTTGGGGGTCTGTCCATGGTATACTGTTTGTGCCAGGCATTCCAACGCTCTACTACCCAGAGATCAGGGGTTGGGGTCTTTCCCCAGGGAGGGGGAGGAAATAAAGGCATGCGTGGTCCCCTCCCCAGTAATGTCTGCTCATCTCTCCCCACTACCCTTTCCAGGGAGAGCCAGGCCTTGAGGGTGACAATGGGCCTGCAGGGCCCGACGGGCTGAAGGTAAGTGTCTTTCTGGTGCAGAATCTAGGGAGGAGGGAATGTTCTGGAACTGCCTTCTATGTCTGCCTCCACCGTCCTCCCATCCACGACCTAAGTTGTCTGCCAGAAGCACTGTGTTCCCATAAAGCCCTGAGATCAGACCTCCCAGGGAGAGCAGGATGGGTGAGGGTGAGCCCTGTCCAGCGCCCGTCTCTGACTGCTCAGGTGGGACTGGGGACCATCCCCACCTTCCATTCCTCACTACTGCCTTTTCCTTGAAACTGCAGCTTCTCTTGGGTGGTACCTGAACACCTGCTCATGCCAGGCCCAGAGCCAGCAGCTTTGATATCTGTTGTCTTCCAAACATCCTAAAAGATCAGGAGAACAATAATCACCACCCATGACCCACAAGCCACTATTTACAGAGGACTAGTCGCATAGGTATTAGGTACTGTGCTAAGCCCTTGGTATGTGCCACCTCGATCAGTGCTATGGGGTAAATTCTGTCTTTGTATGAGGAAACTGAGACTCAGAGAGGTTAAGCAACTTGTCCAAGGACACACTGCTAGTAATTGGCACAACCAAGACCCAAGCCTCAGCTACCTCTCTGCACTGTGTGCCCATTCTAAAGGTGAAGAAACTGAGGCTTGGGCAGAGATGTATTCATCCAGAGTTTATGGCTGTGAGTGGAGAATCCAAAATTCAAACCCCGGGCTCACTCTCACAACAAAGCATGTAGGCCTAACTCAGCCCTGCTGTGTTCCATAGATTCATCGGTTGCCACAGGTGCTGGGGCCTTAAAGAGGGGCCCAGGGCAGGTGGGCATCCCTCTCTGACTTAGCAGCACCACCTCCCACCCTGGCCCAGCCCTGGACCATTAGGTGGGTTTTCTCCAGGGCTGACCTATCATACTGTGAGTCAGCTGCCCAGCTCAGGGTCCAAAGTGCCACAATTCCAGGATTCCCTTTGTCACCCATCGACTCTCCATGTGACCTCAGATAAGCACCCCTCTTCTCTGGGCCTCCATTGCCCCATCTCCAGACTTCCACTCCCATGCTTGCCCTGGGTCCAGGGCTTCCCCATCTCCCAGGAGCCTTGGTGACAGGCCCCTGGTTAGTGCCCCATCTGCCTGTGTTTGGCTTGCAAGGTCAAGAGCGCCCCCTGTCTGCCATCCGTCTACCTTCTCTCCCCTCCAACTCTCCTGCGTCCTAGGGTACAGCTGGGTCTGGTTTGGGAGACCCAGAGCACTTGATGGCCTCTCCACACCCTTTGCCAAGTGCCTGCTGGAATTGTGATGACACTGAAGAACATTTTGGCTAAAATGTTTTGTGTATTCACAAGGCTTGCACCACTTGCCTTAAAAGATTTACAGGAATTAACCCATTTAATCCAGCAACTCTCTGAGCTGGATTCATTACCATCTCCTCTTGAAAGCTGAGGAAACTGTGGCACAATGCAGGGCCCCCCTCCATGTCTGGGCGGCCACCTTTCTTCTCCGCTTTCTTCTTCATCTTTCTTCTCCTTCTTCTCCAAGTAGGATGGGAGGGGGTCTTCCAGGCTTGGGAACCTTTCCTGCCCAAGACTTTCCTGCCCCTCAGCCCTGCCCAGCTGCTTCCTCTTTCACCCCCTCCAAAGTCAGTCCTACCCCAGATCTTGGGCTGGAGTTGTGACGCAGGTGTGCGGTGACTTCCCGGCTCCTTGTGTGAATCCAGGAGAGAATCTGTTTCCTTTACAGTGTTTGTTCAAGAATCACCTTCATGGTGAAAACCTCTTGGACATGCACAGCATGTTATACCCTATGCTGATTAACTCTTTTGAGTTCGCTGACAACCAGCAGATGGTGGCAACGATGACAGTGACTCCAGTAATAGCTAATGTTTATTCCGGGCTCAGGCATCAGACTACGCTAAGCTGCCTTCATGGATTATCTCTTTGAATCTCTACAGTAACCCTTTGGTGCTTGTTTTACAAATGAGGAAACTAGCCCAGATCACACAGCTATTGAGTGGTGGCAGCAAGATTTGAATCCAGGGTGAGGGAGATACTGTCCCCTGAGCAGAGAAGCTTGGAATTCAAAGGAGCCAGAATCCAGGGTCTTACCCATGCTTTGCCGCTGACTTACATGCGGTGTTTGGAAGTCTCTGCCTTTGTCTGGGCCTCAGTTTCCCCATCTGTAAATTGAGAGGATTGAACTAGGCAACATGTAAGGCTCTTCTGAGCATTGGCAGATGTCCTGGATTCCGGGATTCCCTGGTGCCCCCCCCAACCCTGGGCCTCATTCTGCGTGGGATCCACAAGGACACCCAGCCCAGCTGTGTGGGGGCCCAGGCTGTGGGGGTCTGGGTAGTCCCTGCAGCCAGCGCCCCTGCAGGGCCCAGGCCAGGGCTCCTCGCTGAAAACCAGCCCAGCCACCTGGAACAGGCTGCCTGCCTCCGAGAGCTCAGAGAGCAGGTGGCCAGGATGACAGGCCAGAAGGAGAATCCTGCAGCCAAGAAAGTCCTCAAGAGGGTCATCAGGCCGACTGCCTGTCTCCATTCCAGGCTTTGCTTGGAATCTGAGAATCCCAGTGGAAAGGGACCTCAGAAACCAACTGTCCGACCCTTTCCTGGTGCCCAGATCTGCCCTGCACTGGCCCACGCCTCAGCTTGGCGCTTCCCTCCCTCGTGTGTGTCATCTCTGGACCCCTCTCATTGGGAAATCCTCCTGCACTGGAGCTACAAATGCCCCAGCCATCCTGCGCCCCAGCCTCCTCCACCCAGGGCCCAGGGCCCAGCAGGACCAGCCTGCGGGGTGTGCTCTCAGTGGTCCAGTTCCCAGGCTCTGGCTCCCTGCCCTGTGCACTCTGCTCTTTCTCCTGGGTGCACACCAGTTTATCAGTGTCCCTGGTAAAGCGTGGCACTGGAAAACAAAATGGGCAGAGACGAGCCCTGCTTCTCCAAGCCTGCTCCCCGGCCCACCCCTTCCTCCTACCTGTGACTTCATACCCTCTCCCAGAGGCCTCGCTGAGCAGTCGCAGCTCAGCCACCTGCAGACTGGCCACAGGCCCTGGCGGAGGTGGCCCTCTGATGGGTATCTCCCACTACCCCTGCTGCGCCCCTCACATCTGCTCTGCTCGTGGGGCCAAGGGCAACAGGCTGTGCCCCATCCTGGCACCGCCTAGCCTGCCAGATACAGCCTGGACATGGCAAGAGCTGTGTAAGTGTTCGCTGCTGTCCACTCGACAGGGGGAGGTTCTGCAACCGGTGAGCGTGAGAACCACGCAGAGCAGACAGTCACGGGAGAGCATACTTGCAATAAATAGAGTAAGACATAAAAAAAGAGAGAGAGAGAGGATGGAAACACACAGTCCAATTGAAGTATGCCTTTAAAGCTAAATTTACTAACTAACTTCATTGCTTTGGAACAGTCAGTTCACTGCTCTGAGCCTGGTGTGTAGCAATCGAAAGCATTACCTATTACTTGTTATTATTACGGTAAGCTGTTTTGTGTAAGCAAGGGTTGAAAATGTAACTCGAAAATGTGGAAAGAGTTTGTTCTGAGAGGCAGGCTGGGGGAATTTTTTTTTTTTCCTTTATAAAACTTTCCTTTAGCTTCTTAAGACTCTGTCCTCCCAATGTGTCTACAGCGTTGGGGAGAAATTGCCCTAGTCTCCCAACCTGCTCCTTTCCTGTAAACTCCACGGGGCGGGCGTGGTCAGGGTCCTGTCTTCCCTCTGAGCAGCTCCCTCCGTGGCTAGAAACTGTCTTGTCCTCCGTGCTCTCCATGCCAGCCTGGCCTTTTTGGCAGAGCCGTCAGGGGAATTCAGGGGCTGGCTGGCTGTGGACATCCAAGTGGAGCCCTGAGGATTGGCGCCTCTGATGACCTCGGTGACTAATTTTTTCTCTCTCTCTCCTCCCCCCTCTCATGCCTTTGCAACCCAGGGGGACAGGGGTGACCCTGGGCCTGACGGTGAACGTGGTGAGAAGGGCCAGGAGGGACTGAAGGGTGAGGACGGGCCCCCCGGTCCCCCTGGCATCACTGGCGTCCGGGTGAGTGTGCACAGGGCTCCGGGTGCAAATAACACTCATGCCTGTTCAGGCAGCTCGGTGGGAGGTCTTTTGCCAGCAGCCTCCCAAGGGTCTTGTCCTGTGATCCCTCCTTCAGCTGAGAGCTTCCCAGAGAACCAATTTGATCATGTCCCTCCCTTGCCTAGCCCTCCCCTGGCTCCCAAGTGCCCACAGAATAACATCACTCTCCTTAGCCTGGCTGCTGTGCCCCACACAAACCTGGCCTCTGCTGACCTCGTCCTACCCAACTGCCATATTCAGCCACACTGAATTCAGCAGAAGAGGCACTGGCCCGATTCTCCATATTGCTGTGTGACCTTTCACTTGCCCTTGCCCTCTCTGGGTCACACACTTGGTATGATGAAGGATTTGGAAGCATGTGTGCTGAGCTCACTTTGAGTTCCAACATTCTGGGGACTCTTTCTTAGTGAACTTTTGAGTATTACAACCATGGAATAGGCAGCAACATGTGGCAGAAATAGCCCTGACCCAAGTCCAAAGGCTGAGTCCTGGCTCGAGCACCCACTGGCAATGTGGCTTTGGACACAGCACTGCTTCTCTCTGAGCCTTAGTTTTTTCATCTAAAGAGTTGATGAAGCTTTGGATAGGAAAACACTTTATAAAATGCACCGGAAATATGAAAGATTGTCTTTATGAATTTGGAGGAGGAAATGACTGGAAGCTCCTGGTGGCGGCAATGCTGATGGAGGTGATGGTGATAGTAGTGATGATGGTAATTATAGTGGTGATGGTGATGATAGTGATGGTGTTGGTGGTGGTGGTGGTGAACATGCCGGTGGTAGTGGTATTGGTGGCAGTAATGGTGGTGATGGTGGTGAAGGTGATAATAATGGAGACAACGATGGTGATGATGGTGGAGACAATGATGGTGGTGATGGTGGTGAAGGTGATGATGGTGATGATGATGGTGGTGGTGATCATGGTGGGGATGATGATGGTGGCAGTGAAGGTGATGATGGTGGAGACAATGATGGTGATGAGCATGGTGGTGGTGTTGGTGATGGCAGTGGCAGTGGCAGTGACGTGACACGGGCTGTGGTGATGGAGATGGTGTTGGTGGTAGAAGTGTTAAGGTCTGTATTTTGATATCACTCCCAATTCTCATATACTGGAACTGGAAAGATGTTCACTGGGGCCAGATTGAGTGTGTTTTGGGTGATGGAGGTTAAGAGAGGCCTATATTTGAGTCTCTGCCATCAAGGCTGCAGGACCAGAATCTCCCATTCCATGGCCTGAAAACAGTGGAATATTTAAAAATAGAATTTTATGAGCCATCAGGGCCTTTGCAGAAATCCTTCTATATGGATGGGGGCCCAGCAAATGTTTTCATTCTGACCCCACAGCCTCACCCCACTGGATGCTCTAGCTGTTACTCAGGATTTCCCACACCATGAAGGATGCTCCCGGCTGGAGAGGGCCTGTCAGAGCAAGTGACCAGATGGCTTCCCTGTCCTGAGGGAGACTCCCATCTCCCTGGCCCTGGACTGAATTCTTTGTCACTGACTCATTTCTCCTGCTGACAAGGGATCAGCCACTGCAATCACCTCAGTCCACTGGCAAATTCCACCAGCCTCTGTAATCATGCTTCACAATTGCCCAAACAGGATCAGCCTAGGAAAAGGGGTGTCACGGAAAGTAAGAATCCACATTTCATTCTAACTAGCTGGGTGACCTGTCGCCAGGGTCATGCCCCCCAGCCTGTTTCTTTAGCTCTAACATGGGATAGATAATCTCTACCTCCCAGCCCTGTGGCCAGAACTGGATGAGATATAGTACAAAGTGTGGACACAGTGCCTGGCCCATGGTTGAGGCCATGACGACTGTTAGTGTTTAATTACTGGAGGAGCAAAGACCTTGAGACTGTCAAGTGCAGTCCTATCTGGTAGAAACAGAATGTGAGCTACGTGTGTTAATTTAAAATTTGCTGGTAGTCACATTTTTAAAAGGTAAAAAGAAAGAGGTGAAATTAATTTCAATAATACATCTAGCACAATATATCCAAAATACTAACATATTAACATGTAATCAATATAGAAAATCATTAATAAGCTATTTTGTGTTCTTCTTTTTTGTACTGAGTCTGATATGCGGTGTGTGATTTACCCTTAGAGCACGTCTCAATTCAGATGTTAAATTTTCTTTGGAAATGCTTGATCTGTGTTTAGACTTCATAAAATATACAGTTGAAAATGTAAATTCATATCCCAAGTTGTTCCAAAAATGCCAAAAGTGTTCCAATCATTGAATTACCAGTTTTTAAATTTAAGTTAGTTAAAATTTAATTGATTAAAAAATCCAGTTTCTCAGTTGCAATAGCCATATTTCAAGTGCTCAGTAGCCATATGTGGCTAGAGGGTACCATATTGAACAGTGCAAAGCCAGTTCAAGACCTTCACGTTAGAGGTGGGGACACTGAGGCACAGAGAGAGGGAGGGACTTGTCCAGGGTCACGTGAGGACTCAGGTACCTAGTACCAGCATGCAGGGCAGTCTGTGCTTAGCTTTCTAGGCCTACTGCTCTTCCTGCCCTTCCTCCATCACAATTAGTCAGTGCTTCCTCTTAGAGTCCAATGCCTACTCCAAGATGAGACCATCACCTCCCTCATCCTATAGCAGGTGCCTCTATTAATGCAGCCAAAGGGATTCAATCAAACCAGCTCATTAGCGCTTATTTTCCCCAGCTTCCTTTGAGGTTTGGGCCTTGAGAGGACTGCCCTATGCAGACAGTCTGGATGTTCTTTCCAGTCCAGAAACACTGCCTGCCCTACCCCCTACATCCCAACCCAGTGTGGCCCCGGGTCTACACTTTCTTCTCTCACTCCTCATCTCTCTTACACTCATGCATGCACACTTACACACACTCACTCATTCCCAGTGGACTGAGTTTCCCTGACAACTGTGGAGACAAAGCCAGATGGGTCCCCTGGGGCAGGGTAGTGGAGAGCAGCATTTTGGGATGCTTGTAGGGGAGGGAGCAGAATGGCCTCTCAGAGGGAGTGGCCTGGATGGGCAGGGAGGGGGCCCTGTCAGTGGGACACGGCCTCAGGGATTGTCAGAAGTGACATGCAGCATCTCAGAGACGAGGGAGGACCTAGGACATCTCTCCTGCCTGCCTGTCATCAGTGGGCACCCTGGACTCGGAATCAGACAGATTTGTAGTTGAATCAGGGCTCTGCCAGGGACCAGCCGGACCCTGGGCAAGTCACTTCACCTTTGGGCACCTAGGCTGTCACCATCTACAGGAGGGGGTCTGAATCAGTCCTAAGGCTCAGGGTGGCTAGGAGGGTGGATCAGTGCTTGGCACGTGGAGAGGGCCCACTGGGACAGCCTGGGCATCAGCAGTAACCATGACAACAGCAGTTTATCGTGCGCTTACCATGGGCCAGGCACCTCGTAAACACGCTACTGTATCACCAGGTCGAATCCTCAGCTCTGTGAGGCAACTATGACCACTGCCTTGACTTTGTAAAGACAGAGACCACAGGAAGTTAGGTCATGCTCAAGGTCACACGGGCATTGAGCGCAGAATCAGCTTTAACCCAGGCAGTCTGCCTCCAGAGCTAGTGCTGCATGCTTCATGGATCTGCCTCAATTTTCTCTCATTCCTCATCTTTCTCTGTTTCCCTCCTTTTTCTTTCAGGGTCCTGAAGGAAAACCAGGGAAGCAAGGCGAGAAGGGCCGGACGGGAGCCAAGGTAGGATTCCCCCTTTCTCCTCCTGCCCTGATCTGTGCCATGTCCCTCCCTGACAGCCCCCATCCTCCCCTCCCCCCCTCCCCTCTGCCGGGGCCTGGTGACAGCCTGTCTCTCCTCCACTGCAGGGTGCCAAGGGCTACCAAGGACAGCTGGGTGAGATGGGCGTCCCTGGAGACCCCGGATCCCCTGGCACCCCAGGCCCTAAAGGGTCCCGGGGCAGCCTGGGACCAACGGTGAGAACTCTCTGAGTGGGAAGGGTCGGGGTCAGGCATGGGGCAGAAGGGGCCAAGGGCAGAGAGGAAAGTCTCACCCCACCTCAGCTCTCAGCTGAACACTGTGCTCATTATCCCAGCCACTTCTTTTGAATCATGGATCCCTTTGGGAACCCATAGAAGCTACAGCCTTCTCCCTGGAAAAGTACACACAGAGCTCTATTTCTTACAATCTGAAGGGGCAGGGGGTCTTCTGAAGCCGTTTATAAACCCCAGTTAGCAAGCCCTGCTATCAGGGTGTAGAGACGGAGACCCTTGGGAGTATTTTTATTGAGCAAGGAGTTTTCCCACTGGAAGTAGATTCACGAGGGTCAGGGTGAAGCTGCTCTCGGTCCCTGCGTGACTCTGAGGATGTCTCAGTCCATTGCTGGCCTGCCCTGAAGGAAGGGCCCCTGAAGGGTTTGACCGCTGCAGGCGGAGGAAGACCCCAAGAGGAAGCAAGGATGGGGCCAGATGAGGGTGATGCGGCGTCTCTGAGCCGCCAGTGTGTGTGGATGAACAGTGTGTGGATGTGCTGGTTTGTGGGACCTGCAAGATTCCCTGCTGTGAATGCTCCCATGGTGGCTGATTTCAAGCTACCAACTCGATGTCACTGAGTGCAGACTTGGGAGCACATGTGCAGGAGACCTCCATTATCTTGTACCTTCGACCCCGGTATCCACGGGGCATCCTGGAACCAATCCCCTGTGGACACCAGATACTGAGGGGTGACTGTATTTCCACCACCCAGATTCAATCAACGGAAATAACCTCATAAGCATAGGTAACAGTAAAATGTAGTAAAATTATTAGGAAAGGATGAGTTTGGAATATTTATCATCTTTGTTTTTAATACAATAGAGTTAACTGTAAGTTCATATAATTTAATTTATCATGGTGATTCTATTTAACAATTGGCTCACAAAAGTTTAGCAGTTGGGTGGGGGGAGGAGGGGCCAGGCTGCTGGGCTGAACCAGGCTGGAGCCTGCGGTGAGAGCCGCACTGTGTACCAGCGTGGGTCTTCTCCTCTCGTAGGGTGCTCCAGGACGGATGGGGGCCCAAGGAGAACCGGGATTAGCTGGTTACAATGTAAGGAAATCTCACCTCCCCTTCTCTGGAACTCTGCCCTGCAGGCCTGCCCTCAGGCCTGCCTAGGCCGCTGCCCTCACCTCCTCCCAGCTGAGGGCCAGCCCTCAGGCCACTGAAGATTCATGGTCTCCCCTGCCCCAGGGAACGTCTGGGCCCACAGACCAGAGTGGGGTTCAAGAACCACCAGTGGGCCGGGCAGGGGTGAGGTGGACAGAGACAGATTCCACCCCCACCCCTCCAGCCCTCAATGAGTCCCTCCTTCTCATAGCTCATGTCTGAGCTTCACAACTGCTCTCTATGGAAGGGAAGGCCATAGCCTATTTTTGCATCCAACTGGGTGCCCCCCACGTAGAGGCGGCTGAGCCAAAGCCACCTTTCACATGTGGGAGACCAGGCTTCAGAGGGGCACAGGCTTGCTCAGAAAGGGACACTGAGGCTCAGAGTAGGGGGGCTAAAGAATGTGTGTACAGGGCCTGACAGCTTAAGTTTGAAGGTGCTATCCCATGCCTGAAAGAGGTCCAGCAGAGAGGAGGGGCGGAGGAGGAGCACGGCGGAGAGAGGGCAAAGGGGATGGGGACCGGAGAGAGGGTGCTGGGAGCCCAAGGGCAGGACCTGCACCTGCAGGTCTCACCGCAGCCTGGGGAAGCCAGCTTCTTGCCCCCCGGGAGGACACAGCTTGTTCTCCTGAAACCTGGACCTGGGTCTGCTCCAAGACGGTGTGAGCAGAGCCTTCAACCATCCAAGCAGATACCCCTTAGAGGTGTAGCTGGGTCCAACATGGC